ACAAGGGACACTAAAATCCGATCTTTATGAAAGCTGTAGGTTCTCTGTCAGCTGAGGTCGTGCTGTTTTAGTCTACATTGAGTTCTATGGGACTTTTTTTCTGGGTAGCCCTCGTGAATTTAGTCTGCAGTACCACGGCCCCCTGTGGCCATGGGTGGGACAGCTGTAAGCTAGTAATACCCTATCTAGTTATTATTATAGATCCATGGCCTCGAGCTACATTTGGACTTGAAACTAGCAGTAATCTTTCAGTTATATATTTTGTTAGCAGTGTGCGTTGCCTTTGTACCATTTCATCAGCTTACATGAAGTTACACTAATGCTAACGTTTGCATACAAACTAGATGGCTTCTGGGGTGAGAGCGTAGGGGAAACGAGAAGCCTGTGAGCGCGTTGGGGGAGCGATGCTAAACATTCAAACTGAAAAAAACCTTGCAGAAACGGGTATAGTTGCTTTAATGATCCGTACTTTATGGATGAAATACAATAAAAATATGAAATGGATGGGAAAAGGTAGAGAACACAGAGAAGCTTGGACTGAAACAGATGCATAACTATTCAAGATGTTTCAACAACATATTTACACAAAACAAAGGGAAAATATAAGTATATGTCAGACCTGTTTATCACACTCACAAACTGCAAATTAACAAAATAAATACACAATGATATATGATCTATGGAATGCATTGGTTTTAAACAGCACTTTTCGGACAATCTTTGTCGCTGCAAAGCTTTACTCCTTCACTCTATACATAGATCAACTAAAACTGAAGCCACAGCCGCCCTGGGGTACACTGATAGGAGCAAGGCAACCAGTCTGTGCCACCCGTTAATATAATACATCCATGGTGCCACCGGCCAACCAAGGAACCTGGTTCTTTTAACGCTTCCCCGATAGGTTTAGACAGTGCCTCCCTCTGGTGGACACTTGTGTCACTGCAGCACAATGATGACGGTGAAGCTGCTTCTGGTTTTTAAAAAATCATGTAATTAACTGAATAAAGCTTTAATCAGTTATATTTGAAGAACAGACCTGAATGAGGACAGAGCAGATCAGACAAGTGTTTGAATCTCATCTGCATCTGAGGACATTCTGAGGCATTTATTACATGATGGTTTTCAGAAAAACTTTATTTAACCTGAGTTTGGAGATGATCTTCTGTTCAGTTTGGACTGAACCAAAACTGGGCAAAAGTTAAAGGATTTGACAAGGATTTATATCTTTAAGTGAATAATTTAAATTATTTATATTTTAGAATACAAGAAACTATGTGTTTTTTTTTCCTTTGAGAAATATTGTGTTGTATTTCAGACCTGGTTTGAACCTGGTTTGAACCTGGTTAGTCCTGGTTTGGACCTGAGTCAGTCCTGGGCTATAGACCAAAGGGTTACACCTGATTTTATTTTTACAAGAGTTACAAAGCCATTTACACTGCATTTCTGCTTTAGCCATGGCCCTGGTTTAGTCCTATCTAACACCTGGTTCAGTCCTGGTCCAGTCCTTATGAAGCCCTGGTCTTAATAACGCTGCTGTAGACCACCTTCTGCTCAGCGTTGTTCGCCTGAAACATGTGGCTCACATCAAAACAGTTCAAACACAGCCTCACAGCTTGTTCTGTGAAATCTGTACCTTTACGACATCTGCACCAGACTTTTACCAGTGCCAGAATCACCAGCGCTGGTCCCACTGCTGCCACCAGGCCGGCCACAACTGCACACAACAGAGGACATACTCTAGACCTGGGAATCTGCAGATCAGTAACTTTATGTGCAGGGTTTTTGGTGGACGAGATTCACGGTAAGAAGCCAGAACTCAATGTGTAAGATCTGACCTAGGATACAAGTGGGAATTCTTGGCGTGTTCGGACCCGTGTTGGCTTCTCACCACGAGGAAGTGTCAAAACAAATTTCTCATTTTAGCAATGTCTTCTAAAGTCACCGCGAGTACAGGACCAGAGAGAAAGATCAGAGAGAGAGACACCAAAGAGACACCAGAGAGAGACCAGAGAGAGACTATGGGCTCGAGTCTCCCTCTCTGGTCTTTCTGGTCATGGCCCCTCCCTGCCTTGACCGAGGCGTTCCCTGTCAGGCAGGAAGGGGCCACACCTGTGCATAAATATGTGGCACTGCCTAACACCTGTCTCTCTCTGCTCGGCTCCCTCAGGTACTCGAACCTTATTTATTTGTTTGGTCAGTTTTGGTTTGGCTTACTATTTTGGTTACTATTGTTAGTGTTATTATTATTCCCAATAACTATTTAAAATTGCCCCATTCCTGTCTGTCCCTCATTTTGCCACAAGCCTTGAGCCAGCTTGTGACACTGTCTGGTCTCTCTCTGGTCTCTCTCTGGTCTCTCTGGTCTCTCTCTGGTCTCTCTCTGGTCTCTCTCTGGTCTCTCTCTGGTCTCTCTCTGGTCTCTCTCTGGTCTCTCTCTGGTCTCTCTCTGGTCTCTCTCTGGTCTCTCTCTGGTCCTGTACTCACTTTATGAAACTTATTTTGAAAGTGGGACGTTTCTCATGACACAATCCAGTCTTTGTTGTGGTGAAAAGCCGATGAAGGGCCAAACAACACGGCATCTTTTCCCACTGTTGATGTTGGTTTGAGCCCAGAGAGTTTACCTCTGAGCCTGATGGAGCTGAGGGGGGTCTCTCTGGTTTCTTCTGGAACAATTGTTGGCCTCACGGTAACGGTGACAGTTGTGACGACTGCGGCGGCGGAACTGGTCAAATACAAATCTAGAAAATACACGCCGTCTGTCAAAACACAACATCACACTCACTCTCTCACATTGGCTCACCTGAGACCATGTGGGAGAGAGAGAGACACAAGAGAAAGACCAGAGAGAGAGACCCTTCCTGCTGACCTTGTGGGACTTTAAACACCTTCTGGTCCCCTGTCAGCTGGTCCAGGACGGTACAGTGGAGCCGCTTCTTCTGGTAGAACGTCTGTGGAACCAAGAGAAAACCCCGACGCTGATGAGGCTTTAGCTCTGAGCGCAGAGAAAATCTGTCCTTCTCCGGAGACACCAGCGAACAGCTCTCATCACCATAGGGGAACGCTGTGGAGCAAATAGAGACCAGAGAGAGATCAGGGACTAGGGTGAGACCAGAGAGGGATCAGAGACCAGGGTAAGACCAGAGAGGGATCAGGGACCAGAGAGAGACCAGAGAGGTATCAGGGACCAGAGAGAGTCCAGAGATGTATCAGGGACCAGAGAGAGTCCAGAGAGGTATCAGGGACCAGAGAGAGTCCAGAGAGGTATCAGGGACCAGAGAGAGTCCAGAGAGGTATCAGGGACCAGAGAGAGTCCAGAGAGACCAGAAAGAGAACAGGGACCAGAGAGAGGGACCAAAGAGGATTTACATTCACAACTACCACAAGACACGTGTGTGTGCGTATCTGACCCAACAGACAGTGTGTGTGTCCGTGTGTACCTGAGACCACAGACACACAGTGTGTGTCCGTGTGTACCTGAGACCACAGACACACAGTGTGTGTGTGTACCTGAGACCACAGACAGAGACACAGTGTGTGTGTGTGTACCTGAGACCACAGACAGTGACACAGTGTGTGTGTGTGTACCTGAGACCACAGACAGTGACACAGTGTGTGTGTGTGTACCTGAGACCACAGACAGTGACACAGTGTGTGTGTGTGTGTACCTGAGACCACAGAGACACAGTGTGTGTGTGTGTACCTGAGACCACAGACAGAGACACAGTGTGTGTGTGTGTGTGTGTGTGTGTACCTGAGACCACAGACAGTGACAGTGTGTGTGTGTGTGTACCTGAGACCACCAGACAGATACATATGTGTGTGTGTGTGTGTGTGTACCTGAGACCACAGACAGAGAGAGACGTAAATTAACCTGGCAAGAGCCAGATTGATGATTGTGTAGAACTCTAACGCGTTCTCCACGATATCAATCTGGGATTTCTCCCGGAGAATCCTTTCGGGGAAAGGAGGGATAAGCAGCAGAATACTTCAAGCTTATTGGGCGAAGTGACGCTGTGTGCCCGCCTACCAAGGTTGCCGTCCAGAAATGCACAAAGCGCCTCTCGCTGTTCATCTTTCAAAAAAGAAATGGGAGATTCTGCTAAAACTGACTTGATAGCCTCAGCTACGCGTCCGTCCTCCTGCGTAGCCATGTTTGTTTTGCTTCGGCCCGGCACTTCTTGCTTTCGTCAAACCCGGATATTCCGCCCTAAACCCCCAGACTGGCGCGTGATTGGCTCGCACACCCAGTGGTTCGACTCGAAAAGTGTAAGCGGGAGCGGTACAAGATGTATTCTCGAGTGTTTGTGAACTCACAAATACCGCGAGAATTCAGCTTGCAGGCAAGGTTAGACGTAAATTGCTCTTTAGTCGTCTCTCCCGACGCTGCTAATGAGAATGTGAAGCGGCCACTCATTTTAGGGGAGACAGAAAGGCTGTCACTTTTTAGCACAGAATTTGTTGCCCCGGAGTCATCCAGAATTTTAACTTTTACACCACAGATTGTTAGCGTATATTACGGGAATTCAGCATGAATTATCTCTAAAAAAGTGCCAATTGCAATTTGTTGTTGTTCAAACTTACATGAGCGGTCGCTTTGGTGACGAATGTGAACCCGGGTTTGATCAGTCGCTCGTGTTTCCTCCACGCCCGCCTCTGCCGTCCTCTGGCCCCGTGTGAGCTTGAGCGGTCCTCTGCCTTTAACGCCTCCTCCGGTGACAGTCCTTCGACACATGTCGAGCACACAGTCTTTCCGCCGGGCTGTGGAAGTTTCTCAAAGTCCGCAGGAGGCCCAGGTAGCCCAAAGCGTTAGCCTGTGGTCCATGAGGGTTGGTGAATAACCAAACGTGCCGGTCCCAATGGCTTCTTCTGTTTGCGGTGCGGGGGCAACTTCCAACGAGGTTTCAGCGGGTGCGTTTGGTGTTTCACGCTGCCGCCTCCGTGGGGAACAGTCACGGGATTTGGAGCAGTTTGTCTCTGGCCTCCAAAGCAGTTGTCGGTGTCTCACATAATGTGTCCACGGAGTGAGTCGTGAGCTTCGGTTTCCTGCTTCCGCCGCTTCTTCTTCTGCGGTTTCCTGAGCGTGTATCTGCTTCCGCTGCTTCTTCTTCTGCTCCCGGGTTTGGGCCCACTTCTCGCGGGGTCTCAGCTGGTGCGAGCGCCGCCGTGGTTGGGGCGTGGGGCTGGTGCTGGGGCTTTGAGGCAGAGGACAGAGCGCGGAGGAAAAGCGCCGACAGACCTGGACAGGGAGAGGAAAAGGGGACAACAGTAGTCTGCTCATTTTTTAAAAACCCAACGCCTTGTTTGGGCGCGTACTTAGCATGGAGTTCTGCTCCTTGTGTGAAAGGGTTAGTAGGTGAGAGAGGGCGGTAGGGTGGGGGGTGTGTGGGATGTGTGTGTGTGTGTCCGCCTGTGTGTCCGCCTGTGTGTTCTCCGCTTCGGTGAAAAGCGGAGGAGCTATTGTTTTTACATATTTCTTTCTTTTGCCGTGATATTCTTAAAACCAAGTAATATTTTTTTCCCTTTCTTCTTCTAAATTATCACGCAAGATGCGTAATTGATTCAGAGACATAGAGCCTCCATAGCTTTAGATCCGAACCGTTTTTCCATGGCCATTGTAACGGGGGACGTCAACATTCCCCTCGGTGTGGCATTTCTAGATTGATTTTTCCCCATTTTCTCGTACAGAACAATGGACCTAACCCGTTTAGTCTCTCCCTGCTCTTACCCACTTTGGAGCGCTCCGTTCCCCCCCCGTGGGTTCTATATACCCAACGAGCGCGCGTTCTTGAAACGGAGCGGGCCTGGCTGAAGGCACTAGAGATCCAGGGTCGCTTACTGAGCGATACTAACACGCAGCCGCTAGCTTCAATCTAGAACAAAATACCCCAAAAATCCCGCACACAGTCTATGCTGTGGCAATGAATGAAATACCCCAAAAATACGTAAATAAATCAAAACCCCGTGTACACTTAAGTGCTGCCCTGGGCTCGTTACGCAGATGAAAAGACAAAACTCACCAAATCAGGTTCTTTTTGGTCTTGTGTGGCCAAAGATTCTGTTCACGCGCCGGACGAGCGCGCCCTCCCTTTGTCTCCAAATAGAGCAGAGGCTGGTGTTGTTCCAGGTCGGCCAAACGCAGCCGCTCGTCCCCGCCGAAAAGATCCAGGCCAAGACATGCCAGCAACGCCAAATTGTTGTGGAATTACATACCCCAATGAAGGAGAAAGCTCAAAGGTATTTGTCTTAATCAGGAGCGTAAGTTTATTGTACACACGTGCGGAGAGCTCACATACACAAAGCAGCGTCCATAAGCTCTGACGCGCCCAGACCAGGTTCCTGTTTACATAGACACACATGAAAGACAGTCACGCCCACAAAAGATGGGAGGGGGTCACCAGTACAGGAGGCGCATCCGGAGACGAGGCGCCAAGCCCGGGGGGAGGCAATCAGACCGTGCCATGGAGATGCAAACAGACAGACAATGGACATGCAGGATGTAGAGATGCAGACATACAGATGCAAGATGCGAAAAGGGACAGGGGTGAGACAGTCATTGTCTGTAGGTGCGGGGGGAAGCCCGGCTCCTTCCTGCAGGTTAATTAAATAGAGCAGCAGGGGGGGTAAGTTGGCGTCCCCGAGTCTAGGCCGCTTGCCATCACACTCTCTATGGACACATGATAAATGTTGATATTTTTACAACAGGTTTTGATGTGGTAATAAACTCACACATTGTACGGAGACAATTTTTCCACCAATAATCTTCAATGAGTGAAAGATAAATGCTCCAATAGTCATAAACTTCAAAAAGCTCATAAATAAATGGAACTGAAAGTTTGGGGCCAAACGGTGAGTCCTGAGGCAGTGAGCTGGATCATACAGAGACCATAGAATTAGAATAATATTAAAACGCTGACGCCGCGAAACTCCCATAATGGAAAGATAAGAAAGAGGAGGAAGTAACGGTTTATCTAAAACTCTGCTTCAGAAGCACACGGTCAAATGTGATTATTTCAGATACATCATGAATATTACTCATCATTTACTTTCTTCTTTTTTTTTTTATGACTTGAACTTTATTAGTTTTTACAATTAAACAGTAAACAAACAACAATCCACATATCAGATTCAGTCCTTGGCAAGTGACTTAGAGTGAATTGCGACAACATACAACAACAAAACATAAAAAATAAAAAATGAATGTAACACCGCATAGGTCTGATAACCTATGCAAAAATAATGTAACATCTGTATCCATGATTGTAATAAATATCGATATTAACATGAAAATAAGCAGTAAAAAATAAATAAAAATAAAATAAAAGGGTGAATATAAAAAGTAAAAATAAAATAAATACAAGTAATAATCATATTGAATCATTTACTTTCTTCTTAACCCATTCATTATAACTGTTATTTTACTGGTGCAGTTTAAGTCGTTCTTGTTTCACTCCCACAAGAAGACGGACACCTGCAGAGTTCTGGCTTCTTACTTTAGTCCTGCTCCCTCTGGAATAGTGTGGCTGGTCCTTGCAAAAGTATTCAGCCCCCATGAGTTTTACTGATGTTTTGAGTCTGATCAAAGCCAGTTTGTATAAATCACTGTTTTCACACAATCTCCACTGTTACCTCTGCCACAGAAGCCCTTCTCCTGACGAGCGAGAGCTGAAACGTGTGATTAGAGCTGACAGTGGAGCTGCTTCTGGTTCCAGGTGTAAACAAGTCACAATAAACACAACACCTGGGCTTGGATCATATGTATTTGTCCCAGAGTCTGTGGAAGGAGTGGTCGCACCATAGACTGTACACAGATGGACAATGCAATCCCATTAAGGAAGTGCTCATAGACAAAGTGTTAAAATATATGATTAACACGCTCCGTGAGATTTGGAGCTAGCTTAAACAGTCTTATAAAAGTCATCTAAATAACATCAGTGTTGAGATGTACAAAGTTATAAATTTAAAGGAGCAATATATACAAATCTGGCCAAAAGTGGTACTGCAATCACGGTCAATATTCTGTACTCCTCTCCCACTCTCCCTCACTCAGGTTGCCAGATATGCAGACGAATCCAGTTGGGACCTTAACAGCTGAATAGACGAGAGTTATGTCAACAACAAATCTATAACTAACACCTTTTTCACAAAGGCCTTGATAGAAATCCTTGTTTTAGTCTTTGTTTTGTGATTATTAGTTTGAAAATCATGACATGACATGGCACCAGTGAGATTAGCGAGCCGCAGGGAGTTCTGGAAACCCGGATCACAGACCTTCTGATTGGTGATACAGTAGAGGGAGGGACATTAAAATGAAAACAATGACAAGATTTAGGGGCTGTAAAACTAATTTAGAAATTCAAATATCTCTGAACTTCAGTAATCCGTTAAAGTATTGGAAAAAAGCATGTTTTATTAATGCCTTTTGACAGATTAGGGCCCTTTAATGATGACTTGTCATGAAAATCTTACATAATGCCACTTAGAAATAATTAAAGCTTATGTACATGTGTTTCTTACCTGAATAATCCATGTAGTTTTGCCTCAACAGAGTCTTGTGAAAGTACAATGTGAATCAGACCACAACATGCTGTCTTCCTCTCATCTTTAACTTTAAGATCCCTGTGTGTCACAATCTGCCTCTTTGGGCTGAGAGCTGATTGGCTGAGAGAGGGTGGTCCTCTCTTTGACCTAAAAATGTGAAAGGGACAGAAATACCTGCAACTAGCGACACAAGCAACAGTTTTAGAGCCAGCACTAGAGACACGGGTTTTGTGACTAGTTGTAATAATTGTGGTGTAAAAGTTACGTCCCCGAGCTTTAACGCCGGCCAAAGTGAAGATAAATATACAGCATAAAAGTGCAGGTTCTGGAGGCTCTTACTGCTGTGTTTTTCCTTTACTTCTCGCAGACTTGTCTCGCTGCTCTCAGGTTTGAAATGACAGTTTGATAAAAGCCCTTTCGCTCCGTTCACCTTTCGTCCGCAGCGATTTTCCTCCATTTTGTTCATGTGGAGAAAGTGACGCGTTGGATCTGTGAAAGGGGGAGAGATCAGGAGTCAAACAGGCTCCATCCGTCACAGCTGTCACCGCAGAACAGGGAGAAACACAGAGAAAAGTGCACTGCGGAACTCTGAGCTAAACACACCACTGTTTTAAAGGGCACATGCTCCTAGTATTGTATCGGCCATGTTCAAGGCAACTTCAAGTGCTTAACAAAACAAAGTGCTTGAAGAGACTTTGAAATCACAAATATCACTGTACATTCAAATAGTAAAGAAATACAGGCATTTAACTTGGTGTATACAGTACTAGAGAATCTAACTTTATTGTTGATGTGTTCTGGGGCCTCTAACTCTCTTTAGGCAAGCTGCAGTTTTAGTATTGTAATTCTTCGATTGGAAACCTTTCCGGCACCAACACTGCAGCATCTTGGCCAAATATTAGATGCTCAGCTGGGAAAACTTGGTAAGATTTCAAGATGGTCTCCTGGTTTTTTAAATCTTAAATGGCCTGGCCCCACCCCCACTATCTATTTTTTTAAGCAGAGCAGCAGAAACACCAGATCTGCTGCCTTTAATAATCTTGTCGTCCCACTGTGAAAAAGTTCCTTCTTTAGCCAATCAGCTTTCTCAGTGCGCACCGTTCAGTTCTGGAACACTATACCAGTCCATATAAGGAAGAGCACCACACTCAAGACTTTTAAACATACGTTAAAAAGATTGTAACCACTCATGATATGTTGTTTGCTTTGATAGGTTTTAATGACAGGTTTTAAATTGTAATGTTTTAACTAAGTATTTTGATATTGTAATGTTTGCAGTGCACTTTGATGGCATTTTACACCTTGCCTAGGGACTGGCTCTTTGCTAATACTGACACATTTACAGCAATGTTGATTAATGTGTATCGTCCCTATTCAAATAAACTAATAAATAAATAAATATCAAACCAGACCCTTGCCACCAGGGTAAATGACAGACTGTACGTGAGGGGTGGACAGAGTGTGACATCACCATAGTTTTATAAGCCACATATGTTGTTTTTGTGTTTTCCAGAGAGCGACTGTGTGCTGCTGACCAAACTGCCCAAAGTCCACTGTCTGCGCAACCACAAGAGAGAAGGTACAGCGCCCCCTGTGGGACATGGACATTCAAATCGAAATGGGATCTAAAATGAATGAGAAGAGACCAGAGAGAGACCAGAGAGAGACCAGAGAGAGACCAGAGAGAGACCAGAGACAGACCAGAGAGAGACCATGGAGAGACCAGAGAGAGAGCAGAGACAGACCAGAGAGAGACCAGAGAGAGACCAGAGAGAGAGCATGGAGAGAGCAGATAGAGACCAGAGAGAGACCAGAGAGAGACCAGAGAGAGACCAGAGAGAGACCAGAGAAGAGACCATGGAGAGACCAGAGAGAGACCAGAGAGAGACCAGAGACAGACTAGAGACAGACCAGAGAGAAAGAGAGACCGGATTCAACTCGGAGAGAGAGACCGGAGACAGACCAGGGAGAGAGCTGAGAGAGACCAGAGAGAGACCAGATAGAGACCAGAGAGAGACCAGAGAGAGAAAGAGACCGGAGTCAAACCAGAGAGAGAGAGCTGAGAGACCAGACCTAAGTGTCTTCCTGTCAGAGTTTGGGCTGTTGCACGCGCAGCTCTTTCCTTCATACAGCTGTAAAGAATATTATAATGTGGTTCCCTCTGGTCCTGGAGCAGTGACTGTAGAAGACGTCTTTGGAAAGAGGAAAAGGCCTCTTCCTCTGTGTCGTGTCTTACTGAAGTTGATCTGGTATCACTGCGTTCAGAACGAGCTGAAGTATCGTTTTAATCGTGTAATTCGGACGCGCTTCACCCGTCTCTTATCGCTTCATAATCCAGTTTAAAACCGAGCGGAGCGAATATGAAAGGCTGGAGTGGAGTGAAGGAGGGACACGCTTGGCTTCCCCTGAAGCACAATCTAAAGCCTTCAAAGTGAGCCGCTATCTGCCAATCACATCACATCGGAACCGAGAGAAACATGGCCTGCCGTCGACGGAGGAGCGTGAAATCTGAGAAACAGGAGACGAAAGAGAAGGAGCAGAGACTGTGAGGATGTGCGAGGCAGGTCTGCACTGAATGGAAAAAGTTCATGATTTAGCTTCTCCTTCACTGGACTGAAACTACAGACTCACATGTTCAGCAGAGAGCTCAAACTGTGGTTAAAGTAGCAATATGTAAGACTTAAACGGCTCTAATCTGTCAAAAGGCATTCATAAAACATGCTCTTTTCAAATACTTCTTTCACTGATGATTGTCGTTCAACCGAGATGTTTACATTTCTAAATTAGTTTTACAGCCCCTAAATCTTGTTATTGTTTTCATTTTGTTGTCCCGCCCTCCACTGTATCACCAATCAGAAGGTTTGTGAGTTAATGTCACCGGTGGCTGCAGTACTAAAAAAATATTCATGACAAAACAAGGAATAAAACCAGGATTTCTGTCGGGGTCTTTGTGAAAAAGGTGTTGGTTATAGATTTGTTATTGACAAAACTCTTGTCTATTCAGCTGTTATGGTCCCAGCTGGATTCGTCTGCATATCTGGCAACCCGAGTCAGGGAGAGTGGGAGAGGTTGCAGTACCACCTTTGGCCAGATTTTTACATACTGCTCCTTTAATTCAGAGTCAATCTCATGTGTACATTTGATTTTAATTATATATGTGGGGTTTGTATGTATTTTATCTTCTGTAACGTAAAATCTCCCTCTGGATTAGTGTTCAAAACTATCACTTACTGTAGATACACCTGCATATATAACAATGCATCTGGTTCGTCTGATGCTATTGTTATGTCCACATTATAAATAAATACAATAATTAAGTCTATATGTTTAAAGCTTAGTGCTTAAAGATGCAGTCAGTGATTTTTCCAAATGCATTTTTTTAAAATAATGTGGGAAAACGTCCCTAAACCCTAAAAGTAGTCAAGTTATAATGTGTTTTCAAATAGCAATGGAATTGACCAGATGCCTATAATCTCCAAAGATTAATAAAACATATTTTGGAGCGGGCCGATAAAAATAACCCAATGGGATGTGTTTACCGCCTTCACCCTCTTCCTGTTTCTCGTGAGTGCACCTGAGTTATCGGACTTTCTAAAACCTAAAATGGTTGAACAGAAAATGCCAATTTCACGTTTGCTTCACTCTCCCTGTTGTGACAAAGAAAAGAAAAAGATGGATGTTTGGTTTGGTGGAGAGGGAGGGGAGGGGGGAGTGGTTTCCAGTTGGTGCTACGGCTACGCTAACAACATGGCTTACTGCATCTTTAATCCCCACATGATTGGGCGGTAGACTCTCTGATTAGCTGTTGTTACCGGACGCCACCCTCTGGTCTCTGTAGGAGTGAGTACCGAGTGTGGGGCAAGGTGTAAGCCCCCTCATCTCTGTTGATGGTCCTGTTGTTTTTGATATTAGCAAGGATGAATCCAAACACAACTCCAGGACTGTGTCAAGAGAGAAAACAAGTAGATTTAGCAGAATATGTCTCCTTTAAGAGTCCTTTTAGACTCTTTCTGTCGGACAAAGTGCATGTGTTATTTATGAAACTAAAGCTACAGACCTCAGCTTTAAACATGTGTTATTTATGAGACTAAAGTTACAGACCTCAGCTTTAAACATGTGTTATTTATGAGACTAAAGTTACAGACCTCAGCTTTAAACATGTGTTATTAATGAGACTAAAGTTACAGACTTTGACCTTTAACATAAGCATATACTTTTTATTTCTTATTTACATTTTTAATCCTATTTAGAGGTTTGATGAGGAGCAGTGTTGGAACATCGGTGGTTTCCTGTTTGACTGTGACTGTGGCAGAGTGGTTATCGCCTCCTGGTGGAGGTGGGGGAGGGGGGTGTTAGAGGGAGGTATGGGGGAGTCTGGTGTGGGGTGAGGGAGGAGAGGTGCTGTTCTCCTGTGTCTCCGTTCATCCAGAAAATAAAGCCTTATTGAGGGTGAAATGGGTTTTTTAATTGTCTGGGAAGGCTGCCTACAGTCCAAAGTCACTGCTCTGAAGGAGAGACCTGGCCCAGACCTGGTTCAGTCCTGGATCAGTCCTGGTTCAGTCCTGGTTCAGTCCTGGTCCAGTCCTAGATCAGTCCTGGTTCAGTCCTGGTTCAGTCCTGGTCCAGTCCTGGATCAGTACTGGTTCAGACCTGGTCTCTCTCTGGTCTCTCTCTGGTCTCTCTCTGGTCTCTCTCTGGTCACTCTCTAGTCTCTCCCTGGTCTCTCTCTGGTCTCCGTCTGATCTCTCTCTGGTCTCTCACTGGTCTCTCACTGGTCTCTCTCTCTGGTCTCTCTCTGGTCTCCCTCTGGTCTCGCTCTGGTCTCCCTCTGGTCTCTCTCAGGTCTCTCTCAGCTCTCTCTCTGGTCTTACACTGGTCTCTCACTGGTGTCTCTGGTCCCCTCTGGTCTCTCACTGGTCTCCCTCTGGTCTCTCACTGGTCTCTGTGTCCTCAGGTTTGATTCGCTCCAGAGTGCGTGGAGCAGACGTGTCTCGCTCTGCGGTGCTAACCTTCCTGGACAGTCACTGTGAGGTCAACAAGGACTGGCTCCCCCCACTGCTGCAGAGGCTGAAGCAGGTACTGGGATTAGGATTAAGAAGAGATCCTTTATTCGTCTCATAGTGGGGACATTTCAGTGTTGCAACAGTAGGAATGAGGAACACACAACATAAGTATAACATCTCTAACTTTAGCATAATACTGTATATTCTAGTGCAGAATTATAAAGTTGTATGTATTCATCTATCCATGCTGCTAACATTTACAGATGCCTCTCCTCTTCCTCTTTCTCCTCTCTCTCCTCTTCCACCTTCTCTTCTCTCCCCTCTCCCCTCTCCCCCTCCCCTCTCCTCTCCTGACGATGGTTCATTTTCCTTAGAATACCCACACACAGCGACTGATTGTGACAGTATTAAACACAATATTCATGTGGGGGAGGTCTGAGCGACGGTTCAGTGACTCCAGCACAGTCCAGTTCACAGCCACAACTATATTACCTACGTCTGCTGAGGCGGAACTTTAAAGGGGACATATCATGAAAAATCCACTTTTTGTGCCTTAAATGCCTTATGTTGTGTAGTTGGAGCCTCTAGAAGTGCAAAAAAGTTGAAATCAGTCTCTTCATGGGTTACAGAGAACACTTCATATTCTGTTTAGGTAAGATTTTTCAACCCGTTCTGATTTTGCCATTCTCTATTACGTGTTTAGAATTATTACGTCACAGTATTTGCAGCGAGACTGCTATATAAGGGCATGGGCGTCTAACAAAACACTTCGGCTCAGCCCTCCTCTACTGTGCATCACTTAATTTGTAGTCCAAGCTCAAGGATGCCAGCGCACAGGGCTGGACTGGCCATCGGGCGTACCGGGCAATGCCCAAAGGGCTGATGCCCATATTTGGGCCGGTCTGTCTGCCTCATACAAAACACATGTTTATGAGAAGTGTAAATCCGTTGAGAATTGTTCGAGCGGGGCACCTGCTGTATGTACTCGAACGAGATTCCGCCACCTCAGCGGCCGCAGTGTTCCGGGGCATCTGCGGCCGCTTTGTAATGAGCAGCTTCCGCGTCCAGTGGCTGCGAGAGGCTGTGAGTCCAGCCGCTCGCAGCCGCTCCACCGTGTTGTGGCTGAGCGCGCAGCCTCAACGTGGCCATGTACCCAACCCCATAAACGTGCACAGGACCATGCGTGTCTTTGAGTAATCTGTGCACCCAATAAATACACTGCTGCAGGAAACAGTCCGCGTCTCCCCTCTCCTCTCGAAGCGCGATTAAACGCCCTAAATAAAGCTCTGATACCTACATTTTGCTTTGCATTAAAAGTTAATGTTTGAGCCCAAAAGTAATATGTTGTGAACAAATTAAACAGATTTAGAGCCAGCAAATGGCTGACAATATGCATTTCAGTCTTTTTTGACCAATTCTCATCCCTGTAACAAACAATAGTGTTGTCTGTGTCCACCTCCTTCACTCTGAGACATGTTTATTACTCTCTTGTAATGTAGACTATTGCATTTTATTTTATTGTTGAAACTGCACATATCCTGATCCTCAGTATTTGCTTCTACATACTATAAACCAGGAGTCGGCAACCTGCTGCTCCGGAGGCGCATGCGTCTCTTTCCTTCTGTAGAAGGAAAAACGTTTTTAAATGCTGTAAAATTGTGCATAAGTAATTTTCAATTAAAACATTTCTGTCAACGTGTCTGTCAAACCGGCGTGTGAGCATCATAGACTGTGCGCATGGATCCCAAAGCTAAAAAGAGAAGAGTCAATAATAAGACTGGACTAAGAATGAAACTTAACATTTGCTTTCAGTCAATGAGGAAGGACTGCTTCATGTTTGCGATGTAATGAGAAGTTTCTATGAGATAATTGTATCTGTGCTTAGAAACTACAAAAATGGCTGCTCGGGGTGGACTGGAACCTGTGTCACCTGGATGGGGGCGTGGTCAAAAGCGCCTCATTTGCATTTAAAGAGACAGCACCAAAACAGGTTGCTCTCAGACGCACCTCAGAACAGGTGTAGAAGAAAGGCCCGTGGAGCTACAAATAATGAGACTCAGACCCAGGCATTGCAGTTACGCTTTATATAGGCCACAAATTAATGATTTAGATGTAAAAATCAATTATTTGAAAACACGATATGTCCACTTTAACATAGACAGAGGAGGACAGAGGCTGGAGCTCACCCTGGGAGGGGCATAAAGGGCATGTGGGGGGAGGCATATGGGAGAGGCATGTGGGGGAGAGGGCTATACCAGCCTCAATCTTTCTGCGTCTCATCCCTGTGTCTCTCCTGGTCTCGGTCCTCAGTGCAGGTCTCTCCTGGTCTCGGTCCTCAGTGCAGGTCTCTCCTGGTCTCAGTCCTCAGCACAGGTCTCTCCTGGTCTCTCCTGGTCTCTCATTCTCCCATATTTCATGTGTTTCTTAAGTATCTCAGCTGCTGCAGTAAAACTCTCCATGTTGGAATTGACTGAAAACAAATCCATATTATGGGATGAATTAGAAACCCTGGCTGCAGGCGGAGGCTCATTAGCTGCAAACTGATTTATCCTCACACACAACAGACAACAGCCTGCTGCAGTTAAAGCTCAGGGACGTAAAGTTAGTCTCACAAACAACATGGAGTTGGTCCAACAGAAAGAGTCACAACAGACTGTGGAAGAAAGATCCCCTGAGTCACTATTTGACTCTTTGGGCTGAAAGCTGAAACAAGTGATAGAAGCTAAATACCCCAGCTCTAAAGTCACGTCCCCAGCTCTAAAGTAATATCCCCAGCTCTAAGGTCACGTCCTCAGCTCTAAAGTCACATCCCAAGCTCTAAAGTCATATCCTCAGCTCTAAAGTCACATCCCCAGCTCTAAAGTCACGTCCCCAGCTCTAAAGTCATATCCTCAGCTCTAAGGTCATATCCTCAGCTCTAAGGTCATATCCTCAGCTCTAAGGTCATATCCTCAGCTCTAAGGTCATATCCTCAGCTCTAAGGTCATATCCTCAGCTCTAAGGTCATATCCTCAGCTCTAAGGTCACGTCCTCAGCTCTAAAGTCACGTCCTCAGCTCTAAGGTCATATCCTCAGCTCTAAAGTCACGTCCCCAGCTCTAAAGTCACGTCCTCAGCTCTAAGGTCATATCCTCAGCTCTAAGGTCATATCCTCAGCTCTAAAGTCACGTCCCCAGCTCTAAAGTCACGTCCGCAGCTCTAAAGTCACGTCCTCAGCTCTAAAGTCACGTCCCCAGCTCTAAAGTCACGTCCCCAGCTCTAAAGTCACGTCCTCAGCTCTAAAGTCACGTCCCCAGCTCTAAAGTCACGTCCCCAGCTCTAAAGTCACGTCCCCAGCTCTAAAGTCACGTCCTCAGCTCTAAAGTCACGTCCCCAGCTCTAAAGTCACGTCCTCAGCTCTAAAGTCACGTCCTCAGCTCTAAGGTCATATCCTCAGCTCTAAGGTCACGTCCCCAGCTCTAAAGTCACGTCCCCAGCTCTAAAGTCACGTCCCCAGCTCTAAAGTCACGTCCTCAGCTCTAAAGTCACGTCCCCAGCTCTAAAGTCACGTCCTCAGCTCTAAGGTCATATCCTCAGCTCTAAAGTCACGTCCCCAGCTCTAAAGTCACGTCCCCAGCTCTAAAGTCACGTCCTCAGCTCTAAAGTCACGTCCCCAGCTCTAAAGTCACGTCCCCAGCTCTAAAGTCACGTCCTCAGCTCTAAAGTCACGTCCCCAGCTCTAAAGTCACGTCCCCAGCTCTAAAGTCACGTCCCCAGCTCTAAAGTCACGTCCTCAGCTCTAAAGTCACGTCCCCAGCTCTAAAGTCACGTCCTCAGCTCTAAAGTCACGTCCTCAGCTCTAAGGTCATATCCTCAGCTCTAAGGTCACGTCCCCAGCTCTAAAGTCACGTCCCCAGCTCTAAAGTCACGTCCCCAGCTCTAAAGTCACGTCCCCAGCTCTAAAGTCACGTCCCCAGCTCTAAAGTCACGTCCTCAGCTCTAAGGTCACGTCCCCAGCTCTAAAGTCACGTCCCCAGCTCTAAAGTCACGTCCTCAGCTTTAAAGTCACGTCCTCAGCTCTAAAGTCACGTCCCCAGCTTTACAGCCGCAGCCCGAGCTCTGTTTGTTTGTTGTGGCCGAGTTCATTATCAGAAATGTAATAACGAGGAGCAATCAGGCGCGTGTTCAAACGGAGATAAAACAGGAGCAAATCTGCGTCTGATGAACAGGAAATGAATCAGAACAAAAAGGAAAACAACAGCAGCTTTTGTGGAACATGACACCAACACACACATTTCAGACTCTAAAGCTCCATGGATTTCGCAGTGTCTTTAGAACCGTGGTTAGACAGACTACGTGGATATGACCAGAGAAACCCAGAGACCATAAATGTACACACACACACCAGAGTTACTAGTGCCGCTGGTTTGGGCAACAATAGTTTTGGTTTTAGAGAAAGTTGTCGCTTGTTTGAAAGAGTGAAAAGTAGATTGTTATTTCCAGGTGCAGAGGACAGATTCTTTATGGTTCCATCGCTGTGGTTATAGGGCCACAGACTGCCCATGTGTGATGCTAATGTCGCTAATGTCGCTAACGCCGTGCTAATGTGGCTAAACGCATCTGTGCGCTGCAAGGTCAATGTCTCGGACGCCAATCTGCAGCTGTGACGAAGAGGGAAATCTAATGAGGCCAGATGTGCAGGGTGTGAGGACGAGACTGAGTTTAGACCTGCTTTAGGCCTGCTTTAGTCCTGCTTTAGACCTGCTTTAGTCCTGCTTTAGGCCTGCTTTAGGCCTGCTTTAGTCCTGCTTTAGACCTGCTTTAGTCCTACTTTAGTCCTGGTTTATACCTGCTTTAGACCTGCTTTAGTCCTGGTTTAGTCCTGCTTTAGATCTGCTTTAGTCCTGCTTTAGTCCTGCTTTAGAATTGCTTTAGAATTGCTTAGTCCTGCTCTAGGCCTGCTCTAGGCCTGCTTTAGACCTGCTTTAGACCTGATTTAGTCCTGGTTTAGACCTGCTTTAGACCTGCTTTAGACCTGATTTAGTCCTGGTTTAGACCTGCTTTAGACCTGCTTTAGACCTGATTTAGTCCTGGTTTAGACCTGCTTTAGACCTGCTTTAGTCCTGGTTTATACCTGCTTTAGACCTGCTTTAGTCCTGGTTTAGTCCTGCTTTAGATCTGCTTTAGTCCTGCTTTAGTCCTGCTTTAGTCCTGCTTTAGTCCTGCCTTAGACCTGCTTTAGACCTGCTTTAGTCCTGCTTTAGTCCTGTCTTCATTGATGTTCAGACTTTACTCTTCTCATAAACAAATAATGAGTTTGTGTGTCGTTAGCGTAGCCGCTGTTAGTGCTGACGACCTCCGGGCTAATGGTGCGAGTCGGACCCAGCTGCTGCCTCCGGGCGAAGGGCGCCACGGAGCGAATCAACCCAGGGACGAGCTGTGATCCTGGGGAAGGAGAGGAGAGAAACTGTGGATCTGAGGGAGGAGAGGAGGAGAGGAGAGGAAGAAAGGAGGAGAGGAGAGAAACTGTGGATCTGAGGGAGGAGAGGAGAGGAGAGAAACTGTGGATCTGAGGGAGGAGAGGAGGAGAGGAGAGGAAGAGAGGAGGAGAGGAGAGAAACTGTGGATCTGAGGGAGGAGAGGAGAGGAAGAGAGGAGGAGAGGAGAGAAACTAGATCTGAGGGCGGAGAGGAGAGGAGAGAAACTGTGGATCTGAGGACGGAGAGGAGAGGAGGAGAGGAGATAAACTGTGGATCTGAGGGAGGAGAGGAGAGGAGGAGAGGAGAGAAACTGTGGATCTGAGGGAGGAGAGGAGAGAAACTGTGGATCTGAGGGAGGAGAGGAGAGAAACTGTGGATCTGAGGGAGGAGAGGAGAGAAACTGTGGATCTGAGGGAGGAGAGGAGAGAAACTGTGGATCTGAGGGAGGAGAGGAGAGAAACTGTGGATCTGAGGGAGGAGAGGAGAGAAACTGTGAATCTGAGGGAGGAGAGGAGGAGAGGAGAAGAAGACGGCAGAAAGTTGACCAATGATAGAACACCATTATAAAACCAGACTCTTTTTGGTGCTCTTTCAAACCGGGCTTTATAAGATCAGGCTCTCTCCTGTGCTCTTAAAAGCGTCTGCTGGCCTTGTCTCAGTAGGATCCAGTTTCCGTGGTTACGGATAACAGCGTGTCTGTGTGTTTCTGTGCAGGACCCGACTCGTGTGGTCAGCCCCGTCATCGACATCATCAACATGGACACGTTTGCATATGTGGCGGCCTCTGCTGATCTGAGAGGAGGTGAGAGGGGGGAGAGGAGAGGGAGAGAAGAGAGAGAGAGGAGAGAGAGGAAGGGAGGAGAGGAGAGGAGAAAAGAGAGCAGAGGAGGGGGAGAGAGGGGAGAGAGGAAGGGAGGAGAGGAGAGAGAAGGGGAGAGGAGAAAGAGACTGGAGAGAGGAAGGGTGGAGAGGAGAGAAAAGAGCAGAGAAGGGAGAGAGAGGGAGGAGAGGAGGGAGACGGGGGAAAGGAGACGAGAGAGGGAAGTGGAGGCAAGAGAAAGGAGAGAGGAGAGGAAAAAGAGAGAGAAGGGGGGGCAAGGGGAAATAGGAGAGGAGAAGGGAGAGAGGAGCGAGAGGGAAAAGAAAGGGGAGAAGAAAGAAGGGAGAGGGAAAGAGAGAGAGGAGACTAAACAAACTTTCAAACAAGTCTTTTCCATTCCTTATGAAATCTTTAAAGCTGAGGTCAGTTCTCAGCCCAAAGAGTCCAATACTGACTCCCATGTTTTCTATTGAGATGAAGAGCAGGCCGTGGTCTCTTCCGGTCGTACACATGTGTTATTTATGGAACAGAAAAGTCAGGTTCCCCGGCTTTAAGGAACTACGCAGACCATGTTTCAGTTAAAGCTGACTCAGTCTTCTTTAAGTGAATAATGAAACCAAAGCAGTTGCTGACGGTGAGAAATCAATCATTAAACATGTTATATCGATGATGTGGTCTCTCGAGTCTGAACCCTGACCTGCTTTAGAGACCGGGTTCAGTCTGGATTCAGGGACCTGTTTTAGACCTGTTTTAGACCTGCTTTAGTCCTGATTAAGACCTGCTTTAGACCTACTTTAGTCCTGATTTAAGCTGGATTTAGTCCTGATTTAAGCCGGATTTAGTCCTGCTTTAGACCTGCTTTAGACCTGTTTTAGTCCTGCTTTAGTCCTGCTTTAGTCCCGCTTTAAAACTGCTTTAGTCCTGCTTTAGTCCTGCTTTAGACCTGCTTTAGTCCTGCTTTAGACCTGCTTTAGACCTGCCATAGACCTGCTTTAGACCTGCTTTAGTCCTGCTTTAGACCTGCTTTAGTCCTGCTTTAGACCTGCTTTAAACCTGCTTTAGACCTGCTTTAGTCCTGCTTTAGTCCTGCTTTTGTCCTGCTTCAGTCCTCTTCAGTCCTGCTTTAGACCTGCTTTAGACCTGCTTTAGTCCTGCGTTAGACCTGCTTTAGTCCTGCTTTAGACCTGCTTTAGTCCTGCTTTAACCTGCTTTAGACCTGCTTTAGACCTGCTTTAGACCTGCTTTAGTCCTGCTTTAGACCTGCTTTAGACCTGCTTTAGTCCTGCTTTAGACCTGCTTTAGTCCTGCTTTAGACGTGCTTTAGTCCTACTTTAGTCCTGCATTAGACCTGCTTTAGTCCTGCTTTAGACCTGCTTTAGACCTCCTCTCTTCTCGCTCTCATATTGTTCATTTCCTCTGAGTCCCGTCCTGCAGCCGGAGGGGAATGGTGTCTTAAATCAGCCGCATTTAAAACCGTTTTGTCTGAAGCGAAACACAAACTCTGATAACGTCCAAGCAGCGTTTATGTTCTCTAAACGACTCATTATTCTGAGAGTGAGCGATGGAGAGGCAGTCCTGCTTTAGACCTGCTTTAGTCCTTCTAGAGATCTGCTTTAGACCTGCTTTAGTGCTGCTTTAGTCCTGTTTTAGACCTGCTTCAGTCCTGCTTTTGTCCTGCTTCAGTCCTGCTTTAGTCCTTCTTGAGACCTGCCTTCGTCCTGGTTTAGACCCATTAGCCTGAGTGTACTTGTCGACAGCTCAATCAATAGTTTTAAAGAGAGAATAAAAAAACAATCGTCGGCCTGAGGAGGAGATATGTTGATCACCGTTTCCATGGTTACGACATTAGACACATGGCAGGTTTAAACTAAACTATACACATCCAAAGACCCAGAGAGTGATAGTTTCACATTGTGGTGGAGCGCAGCTGAAACATATCCTGTGGTAACTATGGTAACTGTCAAAAGTCAGATTCTTGTCTGAGTTTGGAGCTAAATTCTCTGTAAATCTTGGAACAATCTACATGAACCAGAAACGGTCCTACATCTTATTTGTCAGCACATATCAACATGGTCTCTCTCTGGTCTCTCGGTCTCTCCCTGGTCTTTCTCTGGTCTCTCTCTGGCCTCTCTCTGGTCTCTCTCTCTGGTCTCTTTCTGGTCTCTCTCTGGTCTCTCTCTCTGGTCTCTCTCTCTGGTCCCTCTCTGGTCCCTCTCTGGTCTCTCTCTGGCCTCTCTCTGGTCTCTCTCTCTGGTCTCTTTCTGGTCTCTCTCTGGTCTCTCTCTCTGGTCTCTCTCTCTGGTCCCTCTCTGGTCCCTCTCTGGTCTCTCTCTGGTCTCTCTCTGGTCTCTCTCTGGTCTCTGGTCTCTCTCTCTTTCTGTTTCTCTCTGCTCTCTCTCTCTGCTCTCTCTGGTCTTTCTCTCTCTCTCTCTCTCTCTGCTCTCTCTCTCTCTGGTCTATCTCTGTTCTCTCTGTCTCTCTGGTCTTTCTCTCTCTCTCTCTCTCTCTCTCTCTCTCTTTCTCTCTCTCTCTCTCTCTCTCTCTCTCTCTCTCTCTCTGCTCTCTCTCTCTCTCTGGTCTATCTCTGCTCTCTCTCTCTCTCTGCTCTCTCTCTCTGCTCTCTCCCTCTCTGCTCTCTCTCTCTGGTCTATCTCTGCTCTCTCTCTCTGGTCTATCTCTGCTCTCTCTCTCTCTCTGCTCTCTCTCTCTCTGCTCTCTCCCTCTCTGCTCTCTCCCTCTCTCTCTGCTCTCTCTCTCTCTCTCTCTCTGCTCTCTCTCTCTCTCTGGTCTATCTCTGCTCTCTCTCTCTCTGCTCTCTCCCTCTCTGCTCTCTCTCTCTCTCTCTCTGCTCTCTCTCTCTCTCTGGTCTATCTCTGCTCTCTCTCTCTCTCTGCTCTCTCTCTCTCTGCTCTCTCTCTCTGCTCTCTCCCTCTCTGCTCTCTCTCTCTGGTCTATCTCTGCTCTCTCTCTCTCTCTGCTCTCTGCTCTCTCTCTCTGCTCTCTCCCTCTCTGCTCTCTCTCTCTGGTCTATCTCTGCTCTCTCTCTCTGCTCTCTCCCTCTCTGCTCTCTCTCTCTGGTCTATCTCTGCTCTCTCTCTCTGGTCTCTCTTTCATGCAGTTGTTTTGCTTCTGCTGAAACACTGAAATCTTTTCTCCAACATGTGTTGTGTTTTCAGGGTTTGACTGGAGCCTTCACTTCAAATGGGAAACTCTGTCTCCTGAACAGAGAGCTCAGCGGACCGACCCCACTCTGCCCATCAAGTAAGTCCTTCTGTAGACCGGGTCCAGACCTGGTCCACTTGTTATGACAATCTCCATGTTATTTGTAAGTCTAAAATTATGTACCTCAGCTTTCAGAAACTATTCCTTATTCTAACACATGAAATACTAGTAATTACTCCAGATGCTGAATGTGTTTTTTAAATTAATATTTCAAGACATTTTGCTGAAAGAGGAGATGACGGAGACCTGCTTCAGACCTGCTTCGGACCTGCTTTGGACCTGCTCTAGACCTGCTTTAGACCTGCTTAAGACCTGCTTTAGACCTCCTTTAGACCTGTTATAGACCTGCTTTAGACCTCCTTTAGACCTGCTTTAGATCTGCTTTAGACCTCCTTTAGACCTGCTTTAGACCTCCTTTAGACCTGCTTTAGACCTCCTTTAGACCTGCTTTAGACCTCCTTTAGACCTCTTTTAGACCTGCTTTAGACCTCCTTTAGACCTGCTTTAGACCTCCATTGGACCTCTTTTAGACCTGCTTTAGACCTGCTTCACACCTGCTTTAGACCTGCTTTAGACCTGCTTAAGACCTGCTTCAGTCCTGCTCTAGACCTGGCTTAGACCTGCTTTAGTCCTGCTTCAGACCTGCTTTAGTCCTGCTTTAGACCTTCCTCAGGCCTGCTTTAGACCTGCTTTAGACCTGTTTTAGTCTTGCTCTGGTGTTGACTCTGTTTAGTGTTGAATCTTGTATAATAAGTTGCTGCAGACTGTGATCCTGTATCGTGGATAGATGTTTTGTCGGAGCAGGGTGTGAGTGGCAGCGGCTCTCGTTAGCGTTCCCTCAGCTCCGATGCTAAAGCTACAGACTCAAACTGATGAGGAGCAGCACAGATGTGACAGCCGCTCCTTCTGCACGAGCTCTGTGCCGAATCTGCCAATCAGAGCACAGTGTGGGGAGAGGCGGGAGCACTGAGAGACCAGAGAGAGAAACCAGAGAGAGAGGAGCGCGAAAATAGAGAGAGACCAGAGGGAGGAGAGAGTGATCAGAGAGAGCGAAAGTAAAGTGACCTGAGAGAGACCATAGAGAAACCAGTGAAAGCAGAATCAGAGGAGAGAGACCAGAGAGAGACCAGAGAGAGACCAGAGAGAGAGACCAGAGAGAGAGACCAGAGAGAGACCAGAGAGAGACCAGAGAGAGACCAGAGAGAGACCAGAGAGAGACCAGAGAGAGACCAGAGAGAGACCAGAGAGAGACCAGAGAGAGACCAGAGTGAGAGACCAGAGTGAGAGACCAGAGTGAGAGACCAGAGAGACCAGAGAGACCAGAGAGACCAGAGAGACCAGAGAGACCAGAGAGACCAGAGAGACCAGAGAGACCAGAGAGACCAGAGAGACCAGAGAGACCAGAGAGACCAGAGAGACCAGAGAGACCAGAGAGAGACCAGAGTGAGAGGAGAGAGACCAGAGAGTGACCAGAGGGACCAGAGTGAGAGGAAAGAGACCAGAGTGAGACCAGAGTGAGACCAGAGAGAGACCAGAGAGACCAGAGAGAGAGACCAGAGAGAGAGAGAGCAGAGAGAGAGACCAGAGAGTGACCAGAGGGACCAGAGTGAGAGGAGAAAGACCAGAGAGAGACCAGAAAGACTAGAGAGAGAATAGAGAGAGACCAGAGAGAGACAAGAGAGAGACCAGAGGGACCAGAGAGAGACCAGAGAGAGACCAGAGTGAGAGACCAGAGAGACCAGAGAGAGACCAGAGTGAGACCAGAGTGAGACCAGAGAGAGACCAGAGTGAGACCAGAGTGAGAGGAGAGAGCCCAGAGAGACCAGAGAGAGACCAGAGAGAGACCAGAGTGAGACCAGAGTGAGAGGAGAGACCGGATGCTAAACCCTGTCACATGTATGAGCTGTTTTTGGAAACGTTTCATCTGCAGCTTTTAGGGGAGGATTTCTGCAACTAAATCCAAATAAAACTGGCAACACGGTGTGTAATGGGAGCCAAAAGGGGGTCTTATCTAAAGCAGGTCTAAAGCAGGTCTAAAGCAGGTCCAAGGCAGGTCTAAAGCAGGTCTAAGGCAGGTCTAAAGCAGGTCTTAGGCAGGTCTATAGCAGGTCTAAAGCAAGACTAGAGCAGGTCTAAAGCAAGACTAGAGCTGGTCTAAAGCAGGTCTAAAGCAGGTCTAAAGTAGGACTAGAGCAGGACAAGAGCAGGACTGGAGCAGGTCTAAAGCAGGACTAGAGCAGGTCTAAAGCAGGACTAGAGCAGGTCTAAAGCAGGTCTAAAGACTCTCTCAGAGTAGTAAAGGCCTTGGTTTCATTAGAGCCCAATCTTAAAGCCAGGGAATGTAACTTTCAGACAACAGCAGAATTCTCATAAACCTTCTACTCTTGTTAATTGCTCCACAACAGTTGCTTCTGTCTCTATAGCTTCATGTTGTTTTAGCCTCCGTCACATATTCACGGAGGATATTTACTCAGTGCTTTTCCTGCAGGACCCCGATCATCGCTGGGGGTCTGTTTGTGATTGACCGCTCCTGGTTCAACCATCTGGGCAAATACGACACGTCCATGGACATCTGGGGCGGAGAGAACTTTGGTGAGTGAACCGTCCAGAGGTGAGGTCTGTGCTCACGTAGCGTCCATACAAACATTGTAGCTAATTTAGAAATATAAAAACTGCATATCTATTGTTACGCCCCGAACAAGCACTCGGGCGTCCTCCACAGAAACAGCGCTAAACATTAATTAAAGACCATTGTTGTTTAAACGCCTTTATCGCTCGGTCAGGGAGGGCTCCACACCAGCCTGTGTACAGATGGACACTGATACTCTGCTAGCTCGGCGCTAACCGGGCGGCACGGTGGCTGAGTTGATAGCACTCTCGCTTCTCAGCAAGATGGTCCTTGGTTTGAATCCCGGTCAGAACAGGGCCTTTCTGAGTGGAGTTTAATGTTCTCCCCGTGTCTGCATAGGTTTCCTCCAAGTACTCCGGTTTCCCCTACCAACTAAAAACATGTACAATAATGTCTGTACACAATAGTAAACCGCTTTGTGAAAGGTGGTATATGAAGAAAGATTACTTACTTACTTAACCCACTCACTGAAGGGGAAGTGCTCGTGGATGAAGTTGGGCTCCTCTCTTTGGCTCCTATTGACTCGGTAATCGTTTGTGTCCCACTCACCATTTTGGGCTTAAATCTGTGGTTTATCGTTCTCTGTGATCGAAACCCAAAACCAAAGTGAGCAGTCTCTGTTTTAGCTCTCTTCTCTCACAAATAACCTGGATATTTGCCTCTTCACACCATCAGACACACAGATCTCTGGTTCCTGGTCTCCGCCTCTGAACGTGTTGTTTGAAGCCTCCTGCTGAGACCTCAGCGTTCAGAAAAAAACACAAAATAACACCTTTTATAATTAGCGCCTGCATCAGCGGCAGTGACGAGCGAGACCATGAAAGGCTTTATCAGGCGCCTCGCTGGGAGACGCCACATCTCTCTCTCTGGTCTCTCTCTATTTTTTCCTCTGGTCTCTCTTTGGTCTCTGCTCTCTCTCTCTCTGCTCTCTCTCCCTGATCTCTCTGCTCTCTCTCTGGTCTCCCCCTGGTCTCCCCCTGGTCTCCCTCTGGTCTCTCTCTGGTCTCTCCCTGGTCTCACTCTGGTCTCTCTCTAGTCTCTCTGCTCTTTTTCTCTGGTCTCTTTTTGCTCTCTCTCTCTCTGCTCTGGTCTCTCGCGGCTCTGGTCTCTCTCTGGTCTCTCTCTGCTCTGTTCTCCGATCTCTGGACAGACAGGCCGAGTTACGCCTCCGCCCCTCCCTTACCCAGTCAACAGCCGAAATCCTCATCCACGCATTCATCACCTCCAGACTCGACTACCGCAACAGCCTCCTCTACGGACTTCCCACCACTCATCTCCAAAAACTGCAATACATCCAGAACTCTGCAGCCCGCCTCCTCCTCACCCACACCCGGTCCAGAGAACACATCACCCCTGTCCTCCAGCAGCTCCACTGGCTCCCCGTTCAATACCGCATCCATTACAAGCTCCTCCTCCTCACCTACAAGTCCCTCCATAACCTGGCCCCGCCCTACCTTACTGAGCTCCTACAGCAGCACCAACCCACCCGCCGCCTTCGCTCAGCCAATTCCAACCTCCTCACCCCCATCACCCGCACTAACCGCCGAACCTTGGGGGACAGAGCTTTTGCCATTGCCGCCCCAACCCTCTGGAACTCACTCCCACTGCCCATTAGAAACTCTGACTCACTATCAAACTTTAAATCAGTACTCAAAAACCATCTTTTCAAACAAGCTTTTCCGTAAACCCCTTTTTATTATTGTATTCTACTCCCCATGTGAAACGTCTTTGAGTGTCCAAAAAAGCGCTATACAAGTTTGATGTATTATTATTATTATTATTACATGTTTTGCAGCGTGGATAGATGTATAACCCTCTCCAGGTCTCTCTCCTCGTGTCCTCCATAACCCTCCCCTCGCTCCATCTCTCTCTGAATCCATGACAAGCCCACGACGTCAAACCTTTTTTGATCAGTGCAGTTTTGGTTCTGGTTTGGTGTGTGAGCAGATCTTTCCTGGGCGTCATTAGCGCTCGCTCTGCTCCTCTGTGGATGAAACAGACTGAGGAGACGCTGGCGCTGACGAGGCTCCAGATTACTGCTAAGCTCCGGAGGAAGAGAACCGGCTCAGGCTCAACTCATGTTTTAAAGATGTTCCACCAAATCTACGCTAAAACATGTTCCTCCTCGTCGAGCACTGAGCTGCAGGGGTTTCTCAGCACAAACTACAGATCCAGGCTCCCATATACCCACAATAAAATCACAATCACTCTGGTCTCTCTCTCTCTCTGGTCTCTCTCTCTCTGGTCTCTCTCTGGTCTCTGGTCTCTGGTCTCTCTGGACTCTGTTTCTCTGGTCTCTGGTCTCTCTAGACTCTCTCTCTCTAGTCTCTCGTCTCTCTCTGGTCTCTCTGGACTCTGTTTCTATGGTCTCTCGTCTCTCTGGACTCTCTCTCTCTCTGGTCTCTCCTATCTCTGGTCTCTCTGGACTCTCCCTCTCTGGTCTCTCTCTCTGGTCTCTCTCTCTGGTCTCTCACTGGTCTCTCTGGACTCTGTTTCTATGGTCTCTGGTCTCTCTGGACTCTCCCTCTGGTCCCTCTCTCTGGTCTCTCTGGTCTCTCTACACTCTCTCTACACTCTCTCTACACTCTCTCTTATCTCTGGTCTCTCTGGTCTCTCTCTTCTCTCTCTTGTCCTGCTCCAGATTGGTCTGATATATAACCCACAGCGGCCCTTGAGGACAAGTTTGGACACCCCTGATCTACTCTCTCCCTGGTCGCTCTCTCTTTCTCCTGCTGAGACCTCACCATTCCGCGAATAACACGTTTTATAATTAGCCATTGCATTAGCGGCGTGGAGGAGTGCAAACATAAAAGGCTTTTCAGGCGCCTCTCTGGGAGACGCTGCAGAATGGACCTGACGCGTAAACACAAACACATTCAAGGAGTTTCAGCAAAGACCAGAGCTGAGGAGAGATGACAGGACAAGACCGGTCCAGCTGTTTGAGGAAGCTACATTTCCGACATTATGAATAAAACACACATCTGTCATTGTTTTGTGTTGGTGTGAAGCCAGACACACATTCACTGACAGCTGCACCGTCTGAATCAGAATCACTTATTTATGACAAAACAACAAGTTGGTGGAAGTTGTTTCCGGTACAACATTTATCAATATTGAGTATTTCTTTCCTGCCAAATATGAATAAAGAACATGGTCATTACTGCATCATGAACCAAGTGTGATATTCTGAATCCTAAACCTCTACAGAAACCTGGATCACGGCTCAATGGTTGTTGTAAAAGTAGATGATCCTTAGGTCAAATATGATCATTTAACCATTCGACCAACGAGACTCTGTGCCATAGTGTGACATCACCTCAGTGTTAGCATTCATGTGGAAAAGGGTGATTTTAACATGAGCATGAGAATATGTCTTTATTTGTTCTGATGGGGTTAGCTTCATGCTGTAACAAGGGTAAGAAGGCCTCTGATTGGTCGGTCCATATATGGCTCATATCAGGATCTACACAGACACATATAAACAGTAGGATCACAGAGAACGATAAACCACAGATTTAAACCCAAAATGGTGAGTGATGCTAACGTTACTGAGCTCAAGGAGTTTACTTTTCCTCGAAAGTCAATAGGAGCCAGAGAGACGACACAAGTCCAGTCTCCTCATGGTGAGTCTGTCTCCTGCAGAGATCTCGTTCCGGGTCTGGGGCTGTGGAGGGAGTCTGGAGATCCTCCCCTGCAGCAGAGTGGGACATGTGTTCAGGAAGAAGCATCCATATGTGTTTCCAGAGGGCAACGCCAACACCTACATCAAGTAAGTGCTGCTTTAGTCCTGCTTTAGACCTGCTTTAGACCTGTTTTAGACCTGCTTTAGACCTGTTTTAGACCTGCTTTGGACCTGTTTTAGACCTGCTTTAGACCTGCTTTAGACCTGCTTTAGACCTAATTTAGACCTGCTTTAGACCTGTTTTAGACCTGCTTTAGACCTGCCTTAGACCTGCTTTAGACCTGTTTTAGTCCTGCTTTAGACCTGCTTTAGACCTGCCTTAGACCTGCTTTAGACCTGCTTTAGACCTGCTTTAGTCCTGCTTTAGACCTGCTTTAGTCCTGATTTAGACCTGTTTTAGACCTGCTTTAGACCTGCTTTAGACCTGCTTTAGACCTGTTTTAGTCCTGCTTTAGACCTGTTTTAGTCCTGCTTTAGACCTGCTTTAGACCTGATTTAGACCTGCTTTAGACCTGCGTTAGACCTGTGTTAGTCCTGCTTTAGACCTGCCTTAGACCTGCATTAGACCTTCTTTAGACCTGCTTTAGACCTGTTTGAGACCTGCTATAGACCTGCTATAGACTTGCTTTGGACCTGCATTAGACCTGTTTTAGTCCTGCTGTAGACCTGCTTTAGACCTGCCTTGGACCTTCTTGAGACCTGCTTTAATCCTGATATAGATCTGCTTTAGACCTGCTTTAGTCCTGCTTTAGATCTGCTTTAGACCTGCTTTAGACCTGTGTTAGTCCTGCTTTAGACCTGCCTTAGACCTTCTATAGACCTGCTTTAGATCTGCTTTAGACCTGCTTTAGACCTGCCTTAGACCTTCTTTAGACCTGCTTTAGTCCTGTTTTAGACCTGCTATAGACCTGCTTTAGACCTGCTTTAGTCCTGCTTTAATACTGCTTTAGACCTGATTTAGTCCTGCTTTAGAACTGCTTCAGACCTACTTTAGTCCTACTTTAGACCCGCTTTGGAAATGTTTTAGTCCTGCTCTAGTCCTACTTTAGTCCTGCTTTGGAAATGTTTTAGACCTGCCTTAGACCTGTTTTAGACCTGCTCTAGTCCTGCTTTAGACCTGCCTTAGACTTGCTTTAGACCTGCGTAGTACTCTTATACGCCCATCGTTTTAAGCCTGATTTGTTGTTCAGAGGATAATCTCAGGTCCCACACAGACCTAGCACAGGGTCCTACCGTGGTTCTGGGCCCACAGGGACTTTCTGCCTGTACAAAAAGACTTGTTGTTGGCGTCTTCCCATCGCCGCCATCCATCTCTGATCCTCATAACGCCTTTGTCACAGTTCACGGGCCAATTATGTGGAGCTGTCGCCTTTATGAACGCACTAAATGGAAAATGTCGCTGCATAATTTGATTACACACAGAAGGGAGAGGCGGAAAGCGGATTATTGTCGCTGCAGCTGTGTTGTGGTGCGAGAACAGAGAACAGAGAGAGGATAATGTGGAATTAGAATGGACCAGGTAACAGGCCAGAGGCGCCGTCGCTGCACTATACAGCGATTCACAAACTGTGGAGCGCGGCCAGGTTGGGTTGGTCCAGTTCTGAATGAATTTAGCGAATGAAAGAGAGGGACTGAAAATTCAGGTATATTCCCTGTATAGTCTTTCATAATGTAGACTAGTGTATGTGCCCTGTTTCCACCAGCCCCACTCTACTCTACTCTATCCTACTCTACTCTACTCTACTCTACTCTACCCTACTCTACTCTACTCTACTCTACTCTACTCTACTCTACTCTACTCTACTCTACCCTACTCTACCCTACTCTACTCTACTCTACTCTACCCTACCCTACTCTACTCTACTCTACTCTACTCTACTCTACTCTACCCTACTCTACTCTACTCTGCTCTGCTCTGCTCTGCTCTGCTCTACTCTACTCTACTCTACTCTACCCTACCCTGCCCTGCCCTACCCTGCTCTGCTCTGCTCTGCTCTGCTCTGCCCTGCCCTGCCCTGCCCTGCCCTGCCCTACCCTACCCTACCCTACCCTACTCTACTCTACTCTACTCTACTCTACTCTACCCTACCCTACCCTACCCTACTCTACTCTACTCTACCCTACCCTACCCTACCCTACCCTACCCAACCCTACTCTACTCTACTCTACTCTACTCTACTCTACTCTATCTACTCTACCCTACCCTACCCTACTCTACTCTACTCTACTCTACCCTACCCTACCCTACCCTACCCTACCCTACCCTGCCCTGCCCTGCCCTGCCCTGCCCTGCCCTGCCCTGCTCTGCTCCGCTCCGCTCCACTCCACTCCACTCTACCCTGCCCTGCCCTGCCCTGCCCTGCCCTGCCCTGCCCTGCCCTGCCCTACCCTACCCTACCCTACCCTACCCTACCCTACCCTACTCTACTCTACCCTACCCTACCCTACCCTACCCTACCCTACCCTACCCTACTCTACTCTACTCTACTACCTACCCTACCCTACCCTACCCTACCCTACCCTACTCTACTCTACTCTACTCTACCCTGCCCTGCCCTGCCCTGCCCTACTCTACTCTACTCTACTCTACTCTACTCTACTCTACTCTACTCTACCCTGCCCTGCCCTGCCCTGCCCTGCCCTGCCCTGCCCTGCCCTGCCCTGCCCTGCCCTACCCTACCCTACCCTACCCTACCCTACCCTACTCTACTCTACTCTACTCTACTCTACTCTACTCTACTCTACTCTACTCTACCCAACCCTACTCTACTCTACTCTACTCTACCCAACCCTACCCTTACTCTATCTACTCTACTCTACTCTACTCTACTCTACTCTACTCTACTCTACTCTACTCTACTCTACTCTACTCTACTCTACTCTACTCTACTCTACTCTACTCTACTCTACCCTACCCTACCCTACCCTACTCTACTCTACTCTACTCTACCCTACCCTACCCTACCCTGCCCTGCCCTGCCCTGCCCTGCCCTGCCCTGCTCTGCTCTGCTCTGCTCTGCTCCACTCCACTCCACTCTACTCTACTCTACTCTACTCTACCCTGCCCTGCACTGCTCTGCTCTGCTCTGCTCTGCCCTGCCCTGCCCTGCCCTACCCTACCCTACCCTACCCTACCCTACCCTACCCTACTCTACTCTACTCTACTCTACCCTACCCTACTCTACTCTACCCTACCCTACCCTACCCAACCCTACTCTACTCTACTCTACTCTACTCTACTCTACTCTACTCTACTCTACTCTACCCTACCCTACCCTACCCTGCTCTGCTCTGCTCTGCTCTGCTCTGCTCTGCTCTGCTCTGCTCTGCTCTGCTCTACCCTACCCTACTCTACTATACCCTACCCTATTCTACCCTACCCTTCTCTACTGTACTGTACTCTACCCTACTCTACCCTAACCTAACCTACTCTACTCTACTCTACCCTTCCCAACCCTTCTCCACTCTACTCTACTCTACTCTACTGTACTCTACTCTACTCTACTCTACCCTACTCTACTGGTTTCTCATGGTCCTGGTCAGCTGGTTCCAGGTCCATGTTTTAAACCTGTGTTTTCTCTGTGGCAGAAACACTCGCCGCACGGCTGAGGTCTGGATGGACGACTTCCGCCTTTTTTATTATTCTGCTCGACCAGCGGCCAGAGGGAAGTCCTACGGAGAGTACGTCTGCTACTTATACTGATGCTACTGATTCTATAGATGCTACAGATGCTACTGATGCTACTGATGCTATTGCTACTATTTTCCTATCTCTTTGTGCTCTTCGTTTGCACATTCAGGTTTTATTCATAAAGTGGTGACATTCAGACAATAGGACTGTGCTCGTGCGACGTGTGTGTATATGTGTGTGTGTGTGTGTGTGTGTGTGTGTGTGTGTGTCTTGAGAATGTCAGGTTTATCTCCAAAAACAGCGCACGTCTGACATTTGCGCGTCCTTAAGCCTCTGGTTCCACTCGTGCTCCTCCAAAGCCACGGTCCGTGTGTTTAAAGGTGCAGCGTCTGGAGGAACACAATAATACGTTACATTCATTTAAAACACAACAACAATAGACACTTGACAGAACTATTAGCTAACTATTAGCACTCAGAGAAACGCTGCTAAAAGTGCATTCTACTCCATGTGTCATGTTTGTGTTGGAAGGATAATTATACTGTTGTGTCTGTCGCCTGTTAACATGTGTGTGTGTGTGTGTGTGTGTGTGCGTGCGTGTGTGTGGTGTGTGTGTGTTTGACAGTGTGAGCAGCAGAGTGGAGCTGAGGAAGAGACTGCACTGCAAACCCTTCCAGTGGTACTTGGACCATGTGTACCCGGAGCTCAAGTGAGTCACAGTACAAGGAATACTGCTGCTACTACTAATACTAATACTACTACTGCTTCTATTAGTACTCCTTCTACTGCTGCTACCACTACAACTACTACTATTCAAGTCCTTTTCTGTTTGTATTGCCCTAAATCACAGCAGTAGTTCTCTCTGAGGACTTTACATAGTTGTTGATTCGCCGACACAGATCAGAGAATCTCTCCGGTCTCTCTGGTCTCTCCCTCTCCACTCTTTCAGCTCTCTCTCTCTGGTACTCTTGACGCTCTCTCTCTCTGCTCTCTCTCTGCTCTCTGTCTACTCTCTCTCTGTGCTCTCTCTTTTTACTCTCTCTCTCTCCACTCTCTCTGGTTTCTCTTTCCACTCTCTCTGCTCTCTCTCTCCACTCTCTCTGTGCTCTCTCTTTTTACTCTTTCTCTCTCCACTCTCTCTGCTTTCTCTCCACTCTCTCTCTCTGCTCTCTCTCCACTCTCTCTCTCTGCTCTCTTCACTCCCTCTCTGCTCTCTCTCTCTCCACTCTCTCTGTGCTCTCTTCACTCCCTCTCTGCTCTCTCTCTCTCCACTCTCTCTGTGCTCTCTCTTTTTACTCTCTCTCTCTCCACTCTCTCTGCTTTCTCTCCACTCTCTCTCTCTGCTCTCTCTGCTCTCTCTACTCTGTCTCTCTGCTCTCTTCACTCCCTCTCTGCTCTCTCTCTGCTCTCTCTCCCTCTGCTTTCCCATCCACTTAAACCAGTCTTTTGTGCTGTGCTTTGTAAATGTGTGTGTATATGTCTCGGGTGCTCTGCTCTGAGTGGCCTGAAGTGGGAGAGCGCCTTCACAAATGCCAGCGTTTAAAAGCTAACTCTCCTTCTCTCTGTGGCTCCAGCAGTAATTGTGTGTGTGTCGTGAGTGTTTGTACATGACTCCACATGAGAAGGATTTGTGCAGAGCGCGGATAATCCTGTTAGCATCCTGTTAGCCGTGAAGGGCTCTTGTTGTTTCGTGTTTACGCCTTTGTAAAAACAAACAGACACAACACAGTTCAAGCGGACACGCACACACGGACATGTGTGTGTGTGTGTGTGTGTGTGCGTGTGTGTGTGTGCGTGCATGTGTGTCTCTCTGGTCTCTCTCTGATCTTTCTCTAGTCTTTCTCTGGTCTCTCTCTAGTCTCTCTCTGGTCTCTCTATAGTCTCTCTCTAGTCTCTCTCTGGTCTCTCTCTCTGGTCTCTCTCTGGTCTCTCTCTGATCTTTCTCTAGTCTCTCTCTGGTCTCTCTCTGGTCTCTCTCTGGTCTCTCTATAGTCTCTCTCTAGTCTCTCTCTGGTCTCTCTCTCTGGTCTCTCTCTGGTCTCTCTCTGATCTTTCTCTAGTCTCTCTCTGGTCTCTCTCTGGTGTTTCTCTGATCTCTCTCTGGTGTTTCTCTAGTAGGGATGCTCCAAATCCAGGATTCGGTTTCGGATTCGGCCGAATATTGGATTTTTTGACGGGGTTCGGTTTCTGCCGAACCTAATGCCTAGCGTACATGAACAGAGTAACTGGAGACAACTAGTTGCAAGGCGGCTTTTGGCGACTGAGAAGAGATGATGGAGATGATCAGTTGCCGAAATCGGTCGATGTGCGCGCTCTTACAACTGGAGATAAACAGTCGATCTCCAGTTTCAGTCAGTTGCCCGTGTTCTACTTTTCGGCAACTAGTTGTCCTCAGATCCGGAGATATCACCCAATGTGCGCGCTCCATGCGCCGCTCCAACAACATGTGTGTATTCCCCACCGAACCGAACCCTACGCTTACACTATGCGCGCTATGCTGGTCGACGTCATTGTATAGGCAATTGGTTGGATCTTGAGATGGCCGAATTGTCAAAATACAGTAGTCATCTTGGCCTAATGTTACCTTTTTTACAGTTAAAATAAAATATATACTGCTGTGGATGTTATTTACTTCATAAATGTGTTTACTATGTAAATGGACTGAGGATGGAGTTGGATTTGGTATTCGGTTTCGGATTTGGCAGAATCTTTACCAGTGGATTCGGTATTCGGCCGAACTCCAAAAATCTGGATTTGGTGCATCCCTATTCTCTAGTCTCTCTCTGGTCTCTCTCTGGTCTCTCTCTGGTCTCTCTCTGGTCTTTCTCTAGTCTCTCTCTGGTCTCTCTCTGGTCTCTCTCTAGTCTCTCTCTGGTCTCTCTCTGGTCTCTCTCTGGTCTCTCTCTGGTCTTTCTCTAGTCTCTCTGGTCTTTTTTGAACCACAACAAAAGATCTCTGTAACAAAGTCCATGTCACTAGTTTCCAAAGAGTCCATGAGTGACTCACAGGGTTCTCACTTACACTAAATGTTTTATAATGAGATGAAGGCAAAATGTTGTGGTCTGATTGTTCACAACATTTTACTTTGACTAATTATTCTGTTCATATTTTGATCAATTAGTTTTTATTGGACACGTGCACACACACACACACACACACACTTTTTTCCCGTCCATCAGCCTCTTTTTGCTATCAGTAAAATGCTAATAAGTCTCGAGGCTAAAGCTAATCCGCTGCATACATTAGCTGTTCATTTCTCCGGGGACCTCCTGGACCTTTGAACCGAGCCGTCGATAGAGACTGGATCAGGTCTGGTCCCAGCTCCAGACTCTGGAAACTTTATCTGAGGGAGACTCTGGAGTCGAATTAGCGCACAGGCAATTTTTTGATAAATCTGAAATTATGCAAAGGTAATGAGCAAGAGGCGATTGTGGTTCCGTTGAAATAATTTTGTTGAAATATTAACTGAAGAAAATGCAACGTGGAAGATACGTAACAAAACAGAGACCTGGATCTACAGTCTCAGTCCTGGATCTTCAGCCTCAGTCCTGGGTCTACAGCCTCAGTCCTGGGTCTACAGCCTCAGTCCTGGGTCTACAGCCTCAGTCCTGGGTCTACAGCCTCAGTCCTGGGTCTACAGCCTCAGTCCTGGGTCTACAGCCTCAGTCCTGGGTCTACAGCCTCAGTCCTGGGTCTACAGCCTCAGTCCTGGATCTATAGCCTCAGTCCTGGATCTACAGCCTCAGTCCTGGGTCTACAGCCTCAGTCCTGGGTCTACAGCCTCAGTCCTGGATCTACAGCCTCAGTCCTGGGTCTTCAGCCTCAGTCCTCACATCTGTGATGTGTGAAACTTAAGAAACGTACGTCCATGTACACTTGTGAAGCATGTGATTTGTTCTGTTCGATTTCTAAAGGAAAATGCACTTGTAAATCTACCAGGCCCTGGCCTCTATTCCTTCTTGTTGACAATTTTAGTAAAGGAATTCTGGCTGTTAGTATTCACACCTTTTAGAATATAGACCCAGGACTGAGGCTGTAGATCCAGCCTCAATTGTCAACAGAAGGAACAGAGGCAGGCCCCAGGGCCTGGCAGCTTTACAAGTGCATTTTCCTTTAGAAATCGAACAGAACAAATCACATGCTTCACAAGTGTACATGGACGTACGTTTCATACGTTTCACACATCACAGATGGACATGGTCAAATTCACTGTATGAATTATTGTGATAATCATCCACACACACATCAATGTCCACGAGTTCCAACACAAGAGGCTTCCACTCAGCTGAGCTTAGATTGACCCCCTGCTCCTCCTTTCTCGTGGACTAAGGGTCTCTGGTCTTGTGAGGACTGTTCTTATCGTCTTTCCCTGCAGGAAAGGAATCGAGGCAGGATTAGTTTGTGTCCACACATGTGTTGGTAAAAGGAGATGGATGCCCCTCTGTGTCTTGTCACAACCCAGATCAAGGCAGATCCAAACAAGCAGTTTGGGGTTTGGCTTTGTCCAGAGCTCCTGGTCAGAAGGTTTTCCCAAAGAAAGTCTTAGGATCCCTTTGTTAGAAGAAGGAGCGATGATCAAGGGCAAGAGTCAGAAATGTGGACTTTCATTGGTGTCAAATGTAAGAAGGTTCTTTTAGATAAAATAATAATGAAATAACTTTCAGTGGTATTGATCCGTTCTGCTGCTGTCTTGTTCTGCTTCTTATTTGAACGTTGGTATACTGTACTTATGTCCTCCTTTGTCAGAGTCCCAGATGAGTCTGCGTCCGGTCCGATCCGTCAGAGGCAGAAGTGTCTGGAGTCTCGGCGTGTAGAGGGAGAGGACCAGCCGGTGCTGAGTCTGGAGCCCTGCGCCAAGACCACGGAGGCCGTCACTGCTGAGAACCAGGTCTGTGTCAATAACATACAGCAGGTAACATCAAACGTGTGGACTGTGGTCTCTTCTAACGATCTATCTATTGACAAGCAGTGATAATGAAGAAGAAATGATCAGACTCTGCTTAGATGCAATAAAGAAAGGTTTAATAGAAGATAGAATATATCAGGTGAATTCAGGCTCAGAGACACACATGGTCCTTCTTATACCAGGTACAGCAGGGGTCTCCAACAGAAATGTCAGAAAGCTACTCTTTTTTGCAGTTGTAATAAAACTGTTGTCTGTGTAATAACTGCAGGGAATCATGGACATTTTATACAGTAACATGTAACATATGACTTTATAACCCAACGGTAGAGAACAGAATGAAAACATGTAACGTAATCATTCAGCTCTCTGCAGGTGCCTCAGAGACGGGAAAACACTAATGTAAAGTTCTACATAGGCCTCACAGGAATGTCCCAGAACACATTCAAATGCTTGTAAGGAATACATGTTGGAATCAGGAAATATAACACAGACAGGACACATAACACAGATACAACAGGGGGGTCCATGGGAGTTCCACAAGGCTCCATACTTGGACCAGTTCTATTTTCACTATAGATCAATGATTTCTCAGAAGGAAACACAAACATGAATATACAAACATATGCAAATGATGCTGTAATATATGCATCTGCAAAATATACATTGAGGAAGCCGCATCCTCACCTAAGCCCTGGTCCAAGGTCAGAATCAAAGCACCCAATGGACTGTGTGTTTCTGTCTGTCTGTCTGTGTGTCTATCTGTCTATCTGTCTGTCTGTCTGTGTGTGTGTCTATCTGTCTGTCTGTCTGTCTGTGTGTCTGTGTGTCTGTCTGTCTGTGTGTCTGTCTGTCTGTGTGTCTGTGTGTCTGTCTGTCTGTCTGTCTGTCTGTCTGTCTGTCTGTGTGTCTGTGTGTCTGTCTGTCTGTCTGTCTGTCTGTGTGTCTGTGTGTCTATCTGTCTGTCTGTCTGTGTGTCTGTGTGTGTCTGTCTGTCTGTCTGTCTGTGTGAGCTGAGAGCAGAGAGAATAGTGCTCCAATTCAATTCAATTCCTTCTTGTATAGCCCTAAATCACATCAGTAGTTATCTCGGAGGATTTAACAGTTTAAACACAGAGAATACAGAAAACATGGTATTGGTCCATAGGGGGAGTTGACCAATGTCCATAAAGGTTGGAAAATGTTCATATATGGAGTAGAATGTGTCCTGGATCATCAGTACTGTCCTTTTGGTTGGACCACTAACAGTCTAACAGACCCTCCTGCATCGGCAAGGGGGAAAGAAAAATAGCAGGAGCTTCAAACAAGTGACAACAAGCCCTATGAGTCAAGTAGTGACTCACAGGGCTCTTTCATTCATAGAAGATAACAGGTTTTCTGATTTTTTTATTTGACGTTTACGAGACTATAAGGAGCAGCAGTAATAGTAATAGTGGTACTAGTAGTAATAGCATTATTTGCAGTCTTGTGGTACTTTTCTATGTTTACAAATGCTTCTCTAATCGCTGCTCCTATTAGTGTGTGTGTGTGTGTCTGTGTGTGGGTGTGTGTGCGTGTGCGTGTGTGAAACTGTCTGAGAAAAATCAATACTGGACCAATTTGTTCCTGTGTAGTGAAGGGAAAAGGCGACGGCTGCAGATAACGATTTCAGAACGTGAGAGTGTGTCCTAACGAGGAGGAGAGGAGACAAGGGAGCAAGGGGAGGAGGCAAGGGGAGGAGGCAAGGTGACGAGGAGGAGAGGAGACAAGGGAACAAGGGGAGGAGGCCAGGTGACGAGGAGGAGAGGAGACAAGGGAGCAAGGGGAGGAGGCAAGGTGATAAGGAGGAGAGGAGACAAGGGAGCAAGGGAAGGAGGCAAGGTGACGAGGAGGAGAGGAGATAAGGGAGCAAGGGGAGGAGGCAAAGAGACAAGGAGGAAAGGGGACCAAGGAGCAAGGGGAGGAGGCAAGGAGACGAGGAAGAGAGGAGACAAGGGAGCCAGGGGAGGAGGCAAGGAGACGAGGAGAGGAGACAAGGGAGCAAGGGGAGAGGGCATGTTTGTAACAGAAGTTCCTGGTGTTAGCGTGGCTGGAACTAAACACAACTCTAGGTCTGTGACTGAGGAGGAACAGTGCTGAAACATGGAGAAAAGATGATTTTTCAGAATATGTCTCCTTTAAATGTGAAAGGAGAGAGGGTGTAGGAGACGAGGAAGTAGGAGATGAGGAGGTAGGGGATGAGAAGGATGGAGGCCAGGTAGGAGGCCAGGGAGGAGACGAGTTAGGAGACGAAGAAGTAGACGAGGAGGTAGGAGACGAGGTGTGAGTGGGCGACTAGAGGAGACACTAATGAGGAGAAGCAGTGCATTGTGGGACAGGGAGCGTGGGAGCAGAGTCGGGTCTAAAGTGTCAGACTGAGAACACTGCGGCTGCTATTTTGAATCAGAAACCAAAATAAGACCAGGACTAGACCAGGACTGGACCAGGGCAAGACTAGAACTAGAACAGGATGAGACCAGGACTAGACCAGTACTAGACCAGGACTAGCCCATGACGAGACCAGGACTAGAAAAGGACGAGACCAGGACTTTAGTCCAGCTTTAGACCTGCTTTAGACCTGCTTCAGACCTGCTTTAGACCTACTTTAGACCTGCTTTAGACCTGCTCTAGACCTGCTTTAGACCTACTTTAGACCTACTTTAGACCTGCTCTAGACCTGCTTTAGACCTACTTTAGACCTGCTCTAGACCTGCTTTAGAAGGTGAGCTGTAGCGACAGTTTTGACCTCAGGCGAATCCTTGTAAAGGTCATAAACAAAGACAAACGAGTCTGCGGCAAAACACTGGAAATATCCCAAAAACAAAGACATCATCCACAGTTTTCACAGCACAGTTTATTCCTGCTTTATCAGAATCAGAATCATTTTTATTGCCACGTAAGTAACAATAAACCTGGTTTAGACCTGGTTTAGACCTGGTTCCATCCTGGTTCCATCCTGGTTCAGTCCTGGTTCCATCCTGGTTCAGTCCTGGTTTAGACCTGGTTTAGACCAGTTGTAAGTAAGTAAACTTTATTTATATAGCGCCCTTCACAGACCAGGGTCACAAAGCGCTTCACATAGTATAAAAACAGACATTATATAAATTAGACATACACATTTTTAAAGGCCAAGACAACCATGTAAAAAAAAAGACAAACTTACGCAAAAGCCTGAACAAATAGATGAGTTTTAAGTTGACTTTTGAAGGACTCAACAGACTCTATAGAATGCAGAGAGAGCGGGAGAACGTTCCAAAGCCTGGGAGCAACAGCCTGGAAGGACCTGTCTCTTCTGGTCTTGAAGCGAGTGCGTGGAACCATCAGGAGGTTCTGATCCACAGACCTCAGAGCCCTGGCTGGATTAGGTCACTGATGAAAGACGGAGCCTGACCGTGCAAAGCTCTGAAGGTTAAAACCAGAATTTTAAAATGTATCCTGTAGGACACCGCCAATGAAGAGCTTTCAGGACAGGGGTGATGTGCTCCTCCTGCTGGTGCGGGTCAGGATTCTCGCTGCAGAGTTCTGCACTAACTGCAGGCGAGACAGTTCTTTCTTATTTAAACATGAAAACAGACTGTTACAATAGTCTAAACGCGAAGACACAAATGCATGAATAATCACCTCCAAATCATTCTGTGAAACCATTTTCCTGACTTTGGAGATTCTACTCAGCTGAAAAAAGAAGTTCCTGGTCAGCTGTTTACAGTGCTGCACTAACGACATGTCCTTATCAAAAATAACACCTATGTTTCTGAGGCTCAGTTTAGCTGACTGGCCTAAGTCACCTAGGCCCTGGTTTATCCCTGGGATGTGGTCGTTTGGGGCAATCACCAGAGTTTCTGTTTTGTCAGCGTTGAGCTGCAAAGTGTTGTCACTCAGCCATTGTTTTATCTCGACCAAGCATAGGACCAAGGAGTTAAGCCTCTGGAGCTCGGTAGGCTTGAAAGAGCAGTATAGCTGGATATCATCCGCAAAAATGTGGAACAAGATGCCAGGAAATCTCCGGACAATCTTTCCCAAGGGGATCAAATACAACAGGAAAAGTAGCGGACCCAAAACGGAACCTTGGGGACCCCACACAACAAATCTGCTGACTCAGAACATATCTGGTTTGCTGCGACACTAAGACTGCGTCCAGATAAGTACAAAGTAAACCATTGAAGCACTGACCCCGACAGTCCCACTCCATCCCTCAGTCTTCGCAGGAGGATCTGGCGGTCGACGGTGTCAAATGCCGCGGACAGATCCAGAAGAACCAGAACAGAGTGCACTCTCCAGAATCCGCCGCCATCATAATATCACTGGACACTTTCAGTAAGGCCGTCTCCGTGGAATCGTGTCGACGAAAACCAGACTGAAATGTCTCGTGGATGTCATTTTGATCCAGAAAAGCTGAGAGCTGTTCAGAAACTACCTTCTCTAGGATCTTGGACAAGAGTGGAAGTTTAGAGATCGGCCTGAAATTATTTAGATCAGTTGGATCTAAGCCTGTCCTCTTTAGTAACGGCTCCACTGTGGCATGTTTAAATGCTTTAGGAAACACGCCTGTAGAAAGGGAGAGGTTAATCATTTTGATAACTCAGGGGCCAATTACATCAAACACTTTCACAAAAAGTCTTGATGGAATGATGTCGGATGGACAAGAGGAGGGTTTCATCTTGGTCTCCAGTGCCGAGATATCAGCAAGTGTCACCGACTTGAAAGAGAACCACAGGCTGGAGACCGGCTCAGTAACAGCAGGGGCACCACTCAAAACGAGAGGGATATTTTCTTTGATCCGCTTATTTTTGTCCATTGGACCAACACCTACTGTATGTGTTCTATATTTTTTGTGTTTGAACGGTTTGATTCTCTGATCCGTGTTGGCGATTTCAAAGGTTTTGTTAAATCCTCTGAGAATAAATTGAATTGATTTGAATTGAATCATAACCCATTTTAAATTCCAGAATCCAGTCAATCCAGCTGGAAATCCAGTTTTTTAATTCCAGGTTGTCAGCCCCAGGTCAAGTCTGATGAACAAAAAAAGCCCTCTTACTAAAACGTTTAACAGACCAGACGTGTCCAAACCTCCTCAAAAACATTCGTTATTCAGATCTCAGAAACTGTGGGCTCAGGACCAAAGACTGAAACAAGCTTTTTCTGCTGGGCAACAGTGGGAAAGGCTGGTGTGTTGTTATGGCCTGTGTCTGCCTTTCACCAGGAGGAAGACGCAAATGTGTCAAAGTGGGGTCAAAACAAACGTTCCACTTAAAAATAAGTGTTCTAAAGTCACAGTGCTAGGCCAAGACCAGAGAGAGACACATGATACCAGAGAGAGAGACTAGAGCGCTAGACCAAAGAAAGAGACCAGGGATAGAGAGACCAGAGAGAGACCAGAGAGAGACCAGAGAGAGACCAGAGAGACACCAGAGAGAGACCAGAGAGAGACCAGAGAGAGACCAGAGAGAGACCAGAGAGACACCAGAGAGAGACCAGAGAGACACCAGAGAGAGACCAGAGAGAGACCAGAGAGCGACCAGAGAGCGACCAGAGAGACACCAGAGAGAGACCAGAGAGAGACCAGAGAGAGACCAGAGAGAGACCAGAGAGAGACCAGAGAGAGACCAGAGAGAGACCAGAGAGAGACCAGAGAGACACCAGAGAGACACCAGAGAGACACCAGAGAGCGACCAGAGAGCGACCAGAGAGCGACCAGAGAGCGACCAGAGAGCGACCAGAGAGCGACCAGAGAGCGACCAGAGAGCGACCAGAGAGCGACCAGAGAGCGACCAGAGAGCGACCAGAGAGCGACCAGAGAGCGACCAGAGAGCGACCAGAGAGCGACCAGAGAGAGTCCAGAGAGAGTCCAGAGAGAGTCCAGAGAGAGTCCAGAGAGAGTCCAGAGAGCGACCAGAGAGCGACCAGAGAGCGACCAGAGAGCGACCAGAGAGCGACCAGAGAGCGACCAGAGAGCGACCAGAGAGCGACCAGAGAGCGACCAGAGAGACACCAGAGAGACACCAGAGAGACACCAGAGAGAGACCAGAGAGAGACCAGAGAGAGACCAGAGAGAGTCCAGAGAGCGACCAGAGAGCGACCAGAGAGAGACCAGAGAGAGACCAGAGAGAGACCAGAGAGACACCTGAGAGAGACACCTGAGAGAGACCAGAGAGTCCAGAGAGAGTCCAGAGAGAGACCAGAGAGCGACCAGAGAGCGACCAGAGAGCGACCAGAGAGCGACCAGAGAGCGACCAGAGAGCGACCAGAGAGCGACCAGAGAGCGACCAGAGAGAGTCCAGAGAGCGACCAGAGAGCGACCAGAGAGCGACCAGAGAGCGACCAGAGAGCGACCAGAGAGCGACCAGAGAGAGTCCAGAGAGAGTCCAGAGAGCGACCAGAGAGAGTCCAGAGAGAGTCCAGAGAGCGACCAGAGAGCGACCAGAGAGCGACCAGAGAGCGACCAGAGAGCGACCAGAGAGCGACCAGAGAGCGACCAGAGAGCGACCAGAGAGAGACACCAGAGAGACACCAGAGAGAGACCAGAGAGAGACCAGAGAGAGTCCAGAGAGCGACCAGAGAGACACCAGAGAGACACCAGAGAGACACCAGAGAGAGACCAGAGAGAGACCAGAGAGAGACCAGAGAGAGACCAGAGAGAGACCAGAGAGAGACCAGAGAGAGACCAGAGAGAGACCAGAGAGAACAAGAGATCTGGGAGAGAGAGATTTCCTTGGACTTCCATTGTTGTGGTTTGAAAGTTGCGTTCCTCAGCTTTAATAGTTGTGTGTGTTGCAGGAGTGGGTGTACACCGTGGGACAGCAGATCCGGCATCAGCAGCTGTGTCTGTCTCTGTCCACCATGTTCCCTGCATCACAGGTGCTGCTGCTGCCCTGCAACATGGCCGACGGAAAACAGGTCAGAGGCCTCTACTCACACACACATTACACACAGTGGACGGGTTGTTTGGACCCGTGTCAGCTTTTCACCAGGGGGAAGGCAGGAATGCGTGAGACCAGTGAGAGAGACCAGTGAGAGGGACCAGTGAGAGAGACCAGTGAGAGAGACCACTGAGAGGGACCACTGAGAGGGACCAGTGAGAGGGACCAGTGAGAGAGACCAGTGAGAAGGACCAGTGAGAGAGACCAGTGAGAAGGACCAGTGAGAGAGACCAGTGAGAGAGACCAGTGAGAGGGACCAGTGAGAGAGACCAGTGAGAGAGACCAGTGAGAGAGACCAGTGAGAAGGACCAGTGAGAGAGACCAGTGAGAGACCAGTGAGAGAGACCAGTGAGAGAGACCAGTGAGAGGGACCAGTGAGAGAGACCAGTGAGAGAGACCAGAGAGAGACCAGTGAGAGAGACCAGTGAGAGAGACCAGTGAGAGGGACCAGTGAGAGTGACCAGTGAGAAGGACCAGTGAGAGAGACCAGTGAGAGAGACCAGTGAGAGGGACCAGTGAGAGGGACCAGTGAGAGGGACCAGTGAGAGAGACCAGTGAGAGGGACCAGTGAGAGGGACCAGTGAGAGAGACCAGTGAGAGGGACCAGTGAGAGAGACCAGTGAGAGAGACCAGTGAGAGGGACCAGTGAGAGAGACCAGAGAGAGACCAGTGAGACACCAGTGAGATACCGGAGAGAGCCCAGTGAGAAAGACCAGTGAGAGACCAGAGAGAGACCAGTGAGAGGGACCAGAGAGAGACCAGTGAGACCCAGGGGAGATACGGGAGAAAGACCAGTGAGAGACCAGAGAGAGACCTAGGAGAGACCAGTGAGAGAGACCAGTGAGAGAGACCAGTGAGAGGGACCAGAGAGACCAGTGAGGGACCAAAGAGACACCAGGGAGACACCAGGGAGAAACGGGAGAGAGACCAGTGAGAAAGACCAGAGAGACACCAGAGAGATAGACCAGTGAGAGAGACCAGAGATAGACCAGTGAGAGACTATACAGAGAGACCAGTAGGAAGAGTGAGCTAATTATATATTAGCTTGTTGGTAACCTGTAATAACACTATCGTATTGCAGGAGCTAACGCAATTTTTTATTTATTTTCAGTTTTACGGTTAGTCCACACCGTATAGAGCATGTATACAGATGAACAATACAAACACGCAAGCTCGAGGAAGGCCAACAGGGAAGTGCTCATGGTGAAGTTTGGCTCCAACTCATTCTGGCTCCTTTTGACTTTAGTAACCGTGTCACAATCTTAGTCCCTAGGTTGTTGCTACGGTCAAAGCTGTATAAATTTATTCCAGATTTCAGCTCAAATGAGTTAGAATTACAGCTACGGCTATATTTGGAAAGACCCTTGAGACTTTGGTGATGATACTGTATACAGCGCTTCATTTGCATATCCATCCCATAATACTGTGTAATCCATCTGCAGAGAACACATCACCCCAGGCCTCACAGGTGCTGTCGCCACGGGGACAAACAGCTTCTACTGTAAACTCATCTAAATGTTAATTATTCTGTGTTTTCCTCCACGGCACATCAAGAGAAGGAGAGGTTTTTGGGTTATAAGAGACAAGGGACAGAGAGAGACCAGAGAGAGACCAGAGAGAGACCAGAGAGAGAGACCAGAGAGAGAGACCAGAGAGAGAGACCAGAGAGAGAGACCAGAGAGAGAGACCAGAGAGAGAGACCAGAGAGAGAGACCAGAGAGAGAGACCAGAGAGAGAGACCAGAGAGAGAGACCAGAGAGAGAGACCAGAGAGAGAGACCAGAGAGAAAGACCAGAGAGACAGACCAGAGAGTTTCTGTCTGTGCTTGTGTGTAAGTAATCTTTATTTATTTATATAGTGCCTTTCACAGACCAGAGTCACAAAGCATTTTACAATAGTTGTGGTCATTTGTCTTTCACTCCACACAGAGATGAGAGCGGGGTCTTCATACAGGAGGCACATGCCAGACCTGATGCACCTGGAGGAAACCTATGCAGACACAGAGAGAACATGACTGTGTGTGTGTGTGTGTGTTTCTGTGTTGTGTGTGTGTGTTTCTGTGTGTGTGTGTCTGTGTTGGAGGCTTGTTAGCCGCTCGCCCAGAGAAAGTTCAGTGAAGCTTTGACAGGAACACGCTGAAGCCTCTGTCTCTGATTCTGCTGCAGCGGAAAGTAACAGCAGCCTGACACTTAGATTAGATCAGAGAGAGGAGGAGGAGAGAGAGGGGAGAGAGGAGAAAGGGGAGAGGAGAATGAGGAGAGCGGAGAGAGGGGAGGGCAGAGAGAGGAGAGAGAGGGGGGAGATGAGAGGAAAGAGAGGAGAGAAGATAGAGGGGAGAGAGGCGTGAGAGATGAGAGGGTAAGGGAAGGGAGAGAGGGGGGACAGAGGGGAGAGGAGAGAGAGAAGAGGTTAGAGAGGAGAGGAAATAGGGAAGAGAAGCAAGGGAGTCGAGAGGGAAAGGAGAGAGGGGGAGAGAGGGGAGAGGAGAGAGGGAGAGAGGGAGGCTCTGTGTGAGGCTCTGTCGTGTCTGTGGCATTTGAGGAAAAGGCTTCAGTTTGTCATTGAACAGATGGAGCTGGAATGAATTTGTGTTCCCATCTGTACACACACACACACACACACACACACACACACATACACAGTCACACACACACACACACACACACATGTACACATGAGACATTATTTCACCATGTAAAACAGGAAACCTTTGTAAACATCCACAAAGTCTCTATCTGGTCTCTCTCTGGTCTCTCTCTGGTCTCTCTCCCTGTTCTCTCTCTCTGGTCTCTCTCTGGTCTCTCTCTGGTCTCTCTCCCTGGTCTCTCCCTGTTGTCTCTCTCTGGTCTCTCTCTGGTCTCTCTCTGGTCTCTCTCTGGTCGCTCTCTGGTCTCTCTCTGGTCTCTCTCTGGTCTCTCTCTGGTCTCTCTCTGGTCTCTCTCTGGTCTCTCTCCCTGGTCTCTCCCTGTTGTCTCTCCCTGGTCTCTCTCTGGTCTCTCTCTGGTCTCTCTCTGGTCTCTCTCTGGTCTCTCTCTGGTCTCTCCCTGTTCTCTCTCTGGTCCTGGACTCGTGATGTGTTTGAAGAAGACTTACTATGAAAGTGAGAAGTTTTTTTTTCCCTCTCCCCTGTCTTCTTTGTTAAAGCAGACACGGGTTCAAACAACATGCAGTCCTTTCCCACGGTTGTCCACACAGGTCTGTGAAACACATAGGTGCAGTGTGGAAAGCAACATTTAGAGGCAGAAAACAGCTCTGTAATGTCATAGTTTAACAGGCTTGAAAACAGAGCATTTAGACAGAAGGGGTGGGGGGACATGTTTGTGCCTGTTCCTGATATAAGTTCATGGACGAAGCTAAACACAGCTGCAGGTCTGTGACTGAGGAGGAACAGTGTGTAAACGGACAGGGAGTCCCTCAGGGCTCTGTTCTGGGCCCACTGTTATTGTAATACTTGTTAGAATACGGTTTTCTACGATCTGATCTGACAGTATCACACATGTGTAACTTTGTGGCAGACTAAAGCACTCTGTCACATCTTTAGATCAGCTTTTTCAGACAGAAATGTGAAATAAGAGGACCCCCCTCACTCAGCCAATTAGCTCTCAGCCCAAAGAGTCAAATAATGACAAAATAAGAAAAAAATCATGATTGGATAAAGAAAATATATTATAATCTGATTTGAACACTTTACTTTGACTCTTTCTGTTGCACACACACACACACACACACACACACACACACACACACACACACACACACACTTAAAGTTGTGTGTCTTGTTTTGCAGCAGTAAAAGTTTGAGGTGATGGATGTGAATAAAAGCAGTGTTTTTGTCGCTGCTGTGGCCTGAAGCACTGTTTACACTGCATCAGCGCCTCGTCTCCTAATGATGCATTTTTAACGAGCTTTTCCTTCATTTTCCCATTATCCGCGTTCACACTTGGCTGAGCTATGAGTCTGAAGACCACGTCCTGCAGAACAATGGATCTGACACAAAAATCATGTTCTTCTGTGACTCAACCCCAGCCGCTCAGAGTAATGGGCTTTTAGAGAGCTGTGCGTGAGGAGAGAGGGAGGAGGGCGCCATCTGCAGGACACAGGCTGTAATTACACCAGCAGTGACAGCTCAAACAGCTGTATTCGAGGGGCAAAAGGGAAGAGGGCGCCATCTGCAGGCGACAGGCTGTAATTACAACAGCAGAGACTTTCAAACAGCTGCCTCTCTGGTTTCTCTCTGGTCTCTCTAGTCTCCCTCTGGTCTTTCTCTGCTCTCTAATCTCTCCTCTGCTCTCAGCTCTCTGTCTGGGCTTTCTCTCACTGGAAAACTCCTTTAGAGATTGAAGGTTTTGTCCATTCCTCTTCGCAAAACAGCTCAAACTTTGTCAGATTGGCAGCATCCACAGGTTTTCACTTGATTTTCGGCAGGATCTGCCTAATGGGACTTTTCAAAATGGCTGTGGGACAGGAAAATGTGAAAAAACGCATTTGCCAATGTGTGCCGGCACTTGCCCCATTCATTTAGCGAGTGCCTTCTGAAGTCCACAACGGCTAAACTAGACTGGTCCCAAAAAATATACTCCCCTCAGCATTGACACACATCTGCAACGTGACGTTGGTCCAGGAGCGACTATTGGACCATCCTGTAAAGAGGTTTTTTAGAGGACAGAAGACGCCATACAAAAGCATTGAATAATTCTTATTCCGGGTACACCCCCTCAGGCCCGGAGTGGCAACCATCTCAGTGCACGTGCTCATGGACCTTTTGGAGCCGAGACCCGCCCCCACTGGTTCTGACGCATGAATACGTTTAAACCAGTTCATTGTTGCTCAGGCTTGAGGCCTGTCCTGACGGAAGGAAGCTGAAAGGTTTACTTTTAAAGTGACCATCCATCTTCCTGTCATTTTTACTCCCTTCCCTGTCCCTGCTGAAGAAAGCCCCAAAGCATGATGCTACCACCTCTATAGACACTGGGGATGAGCAGTGTTAGTTTTGTTCGCTGCGGCCTCATGTAACTTCTGAAAACAGGTTTCTTCTGGCTGTATTTCAACACACGCACAGGTTGTGTGTATTGTACATGATGGTCTCTCTGTGACCCGTGTCTCTGTGACCTGTGTCTCTCTGTGACCTGTGTCTCTGTGACCTGTGTCTCTGTGACCTGTCTCTGTGACCTGTGTCTCTGTGACCTGTGTCTCTCTGTGACCCGTGTCTCTGTGACCCGTGTCTCTCTGTGACCCGTGTCTCTCTGTGACCTGTGTCTCTCTGTGACCTGTGTCTCTCTGTGACCTGTGTCTCTCTGTGACCTGTGTCTCTCTGTGACCTGTGTCTCTGTGTCTCTGTCTCTGCAGCGGTGGCAGAAGTCGGGGACACACCTGGAGCACCTGTTGTCTCGCTTCTGTCTGGACTCAGAGATGGCTCTGGACGGACTGGACTCTGCTCGAATGTTAGTGATCAGTCCCTGTGAGCTGAGCGCCTACACACAGAGGTGGGAGCTGCCCTTCTCCTGACCACAGGGAGACCGAGGAGACTGAGGAGAGAGACTGTGGAGACCGAGGAGAGAGACTGTGGAGACCGAGGAGAGAGACTGTGGAGACCGAGGATCAAAAGAGACTGAGGAGAGAAACTGAGGAGACTGAGGAGAGAGACGGACGAGAAAGCGCTCCTTTTGAGGGGAGAGTCTTTAATGCCTATATTGCACTACGTGGATGACTTGATGTAGTCCAGTGCTCTCTTCTGGTTTCTCTCTGGTCTCTCTTCTGGTTTCTCTCTGGTCTCTCTCTGGTCTCTACATGTGTGTGACTACATTTGACAACAGTGGCTCCTACAGTAAATGAGATACATTTTATTATAATCCCTGTTCCAAAGTGTGAGCCTTCCATCCCCACAGTGGACAGACCGGTTTGGGAGCAACACTCAGTCCGTTCTCTGTATTCTTCTGCTTTGTAAACGTACTCACACTTTCTACTGCACAGAACCGCACACTGAGGCCGGCGCGCAAATGTTTTTTTCTGATTCTGAAGTGCACCTTATTGAGACGACGCCGCGTGAAGCACAAGTCGCTTCTGTTCGTTCGGGCAGAAGTCGCATGAGCACATTCTCACAGTCACAGGGATCGGCCAAAGAAACACAGGCAATAATGGAACTGCTGCATTCTGCTGCGGATCTGCATAAGAGACCCATCGCTACAGCAACCCCCGTTTACTCACTTAAAGGAGATGTCTTCTCTCTCCTCCCGCTCTCCTCTCCCTCACTCCTCTGTCTAATTTTCCCCTCTCCTCCTCTTTCCACTCCTCTCTCTCCTCTCTCTTTTCTCTCTCTTTCCTCTTTTTCTCCTCTCTCCTCCTTTTTCCTTCCCCTCTATCTCTCTCCTCTTTATCCTCTCCCCTCTCCTCCTCTTTCCACTCCTCTCTCTTTCTCTTTCCTCTCTCTCCCCTCTCCTCCTCTTTCCACTCCTCTCTCTGATTCTCTCTCTCCTCTCTCCTCACTCTCCCTCTCCTCCTCTTTCCACTGCTCTCTCTGATTCTCTCGCCTATCCTCACTCTCCCCTCTCCTCCTCTTTCCACTCCTCTCTTTCTCTTTCCTCTCTCTTTCTCTATCCTCACTCTCCCCTCTCCTCTCCTTGTGACAAAGACAGAAATACATGAAACTAGAGAGAGTTTTGTTTGAGAGCCAGAACTAGAGACATGGCCTTAATACAGAGTTACGTACCCCAGCTTTAAAGCTCACTGCCTGCAGTGTAGAGCAGGGGGTTGTCAGAGCGGCGGCTCTTGAATGCAGGAGCGGCGTCAGTGAGGAATGAGGAGGATAATTGTTTAATGTCAACATAATCTGAGACGTCTGTGGCTCACACTGATCTGTGCATGAAGAATTTATATTTTTACACTGAAATGAAGACTGCTGCTGTTTCAAAAACTGTGATGTAATAGATCATCCGTTAGAAGGACTTTGTTTTTGATTCATACCTGACAATAATGACACCATCTCTGGACTTTGGGTTTTGGTCCTGCTTTAGACTTGATTTAGACCCGCTTTAGACCTGCTTCAGTCCTGCTGTTGACCTGCATCAGTCCTGCTTTAGACCTTCTTTAGACCTGCTTTAGACCTGCTTTAGACCTTCTTTAGTCCTGCTTTAGACCTTCTTTAGTCCTGCTTCAGTCCTGCTGTTGACCTGCATCAGTCCTGCTTTAGACCTTCTTTAGACCTGCTTTAGACCTTCTTTAGTCCTGCTTCAGTCCTGCTTTAGTCCTGCTTTAGACTTTATTTAGACCTGCTGTAGACCTGCTTTAGACCTGCTTTAGACCTTCTTTAGACCTGCTTTAGACCTTCTTTAGTCCTGCTTCAGTCCTGCTTTAGTCCTGCTTTAGACTTTATTTAGACCTGCTGTAGACCTGCTTTAGACCTGCTTTAGACCCGTTTCAGTCCTGCTTTAGACCTTCTTTAGTCCTGCTTTAGACCTTCTTTAGTCCTGCTTTAGACCTTCTTTAGTGCTCCATTATAAACCATTGTATGAGACAGAGTTCTGTGACTATTGTCAGATATGTGATTGTTTTCAAAGTTCTATTTCAAAAGGTTTTTATTCTGACAAAATAAACTTTTATAAAGAGTTTTGCTCCTCTTTGTTCCTCTGTTTTACATATGTAGACCACATCTGGACTAAAACCAGACCCAAGGACCCAACACCAGACTGTGACCAGGACCAAACCCCAAGGACCCAAGAACAGACCTGGGTCAAGACAAAAACAGATCCAGACTACTAGTGATAGAACCGTTTCAGAGCAGAACATAGTCTATTCTCCTCTGGTTGAAAGTTAGACCCTCAGGTTTAACTCAGGCCTAGTGTAACAACAGTGTAACAGTGTAATAACAGTGTAACAACAGTGTAATAACAGTGTAACAACAGTGTAATAACAGTTTCCCCTGTGAAGTTAATGATATTGTATTTTTTTTGCTTTGACCGGGGTTCAGACTCGTGTTCACTGCGGCTGTAGCAGAGGAGGGGGCAGAGAGGGGGTGGTCCGCCGCATGAGCAGCATTCACACCTATCTTTGGTCCTTTATCCGCAAATCCTTCTCGAAATACGGGGATAATCCACGTTAACAGCCGCAAGACACGCGTGAGAACCGTGTCACAAATGGATACGACCGACAACAGCAGCTGACACACGGTTTTTCCCTTTATTTTCGCCTTTCTTCGTAAAGAGCCTCGTTCGCGTGAGTACAATGACCTTTTTTCACGCTATTTTTAGGCAGAGTCCAGGGCATTCGGTGACCAGGGCTAAATACAACACGAACACGGACCGTCTGAACACAATATGGAGTAAAAATGTGTTTATTTGGGTAGAAACGTGAAGTACTGATGTTGGATAACACTGTCATTCAGGGATGCATTATGCGTGGCACCCGATGGTTCTCTATCTTATGTGTCTTTCATTAATCAATTATTTTATTACGTGAAAACATCACCTAAAACATACAATTTAATTAATACAACGCCAATTGGGTGAAGAAACTAATTATTGTTGGGATCTTCTGGGAAATGTTTTGATTAACGCTGGGGAAGCATTTTAGCGCTGCACCTGTGGGTTGTAGTCTGTTGGCATGTTGCTGTAACGCTATGGAACTGAATACAAACTACAAACACGAAAACACGTATTAAAGCGAATTAGAAATGTATACAAACACATCCTGTATGCGTACGACATGAATATGATCATAAAAATAAAACTTATTGAAAATAAATACGTTTATTGTTGATTTTGGTAAGAAATAGTGACTTGTTGTTTTGCTGCGACGCGGATCTTCCTGTTCACAACGGTGACGTTTCTATGCGACACGGAGTGAAGTGTGACTTTTGGACAGATTTGTGCTGAAAATGAGCTTTTTATTCAGCGTCAGATGAATCCAAACTGGAATAATCACTATGCGCCATATCGCAGGCAAATGCAGTGAGTATTTAATGTAAAAGAACCGAAAATAAATCACAAATTATAAGAAATATGGGAAAATTCGTGTCAATGCTAACTAGCACATTTAGCAAAACACAACAAAACATAAATTAGCTAATTATAAAAAGGATTCTAGAGATGAGAGGTTTTTAGATGTGTGATATTTTACAACAATGTGAAAGCTGATTAAAGCTGGGAGACGTAACTTTCCAACCACATCAATACACCTCTAAAACAGTTGCTCCTATCACTAGTTTCATTTATTTCTGTTCTCTGTCTCATCTACAGATCCGTTTTTTTTTCAGACAAAGGTGAAACAGAGAGGACCACCCTCAATCAGCCAATCAATTCTCAACCCAAAGAGTCAGATAGTGACTCAAAAGGCTCTCGCTTACAAGTATCAAAAGATAACATTATGTTCTCTCAAGATTTGTTCTCAGCGTTTTGCTCTTTCTGTTAGGCAAACTACATGTTCAATTTATGAAACAGAAAATGTAAAACTTTAAATTAGGCCTTGTATAATATACCCATGTCCAAACAAACATATGTCTGTTATCACTGCCACCAGAGGAAGCTGCAAACACATACATGTAATTGTAAAGAACCTCATGACCAAAACTTCTGTAAGGAAATACTTTTGTTTTAAAGGTAGAAAACTGTTCTGAATGTGATGTCATAGTGACGTCATAGTGGTACAATGACATCATACTCTTACAGGACTGAGGCACCGTTTAGACGGAAAGTGTGTGTGTGTGTAGATAGATATAGGTTATGTATTGTATACAGGGCAGGATAATAAGTAGATAAAGTGACATTCAGTGGACATTCTGAAATGCAGTATTGCACACTACATGATATTGGCGTAGATGGATCTAAACACAGCTCCAGGTCTGTGACTGAGGAGGAGCTGTGTTGGAACCTGGAGATCAGACAGAAAAAGTCGCATTTGCAGATTATGTCTCTTAACATTCACAACTATGACTTGATTCTAACTCCTGTGTTGTTGTGTTGCAGCCCCTCAATGTGGCGGCTGCCTGTAACTGCGCTGGGCTCCTCTCTGTTTCCACGCGCTGTTCCTCGCTTCCTCCCGCCCCTCCCCCTCCTCCTCCCTTTTTCCCATGGTGCACTGTGGCCCCCTCCCCCCACCCCCCAGCGGTGTTTCCGTTCCTGCAGCCCGTGGGGTTCCCTCCTGACGTCCGGAACTTCAGCTCCAGCGCCACAAGGATGGAGCAAGAACCACCGCTGAAGAGACGTAGGAGCTCAGAGAAACTAGATGTGAAATGTGAGTTTGGACCAGGTCTCTCTGGTCTCTCTCTAGTCCGTCTCTCTGGTCTCTGGTCTCTCTAGTCCGTCTCTCTAGTCCGTCTCTCTTGTCTCTCTCACTCCAGTCTTTCTCTCTGGTCTCTGTCTCTCGGTCTCTCTCTCTCCGGTCTCCCTCGGTCTCTCTCTCTCCTCAGACTCTGATTCAGACCCTCTCCCCTCACTCCCCTCTCTCCTCAGCTCTCCTCAGGCAGTGGGACAGTTGCAGTGACGCCTCCTCTCCTGCAGAGGGCGACAATAGCTTTGACTTCACAGTGATGTCCTACAACATCCTGAGTCAGGACCTGCTGCTGGACAACATGTACCTTTACAAACACTGCCCCCCAGAGGTCCTCAGCTGGAACTACAGGCTGAGGGGGCTGCTGACGGAGCTGCGACTGCATGATGCGGATGTAAGTGAGAGGTGTGACTGCATGAGGCTGTGAGGAGATGCTGAGAAACTCTTTGGGCCCGTCCCAATTCTGAGGGCACTCGAGTTATGAGTGCCCTCAACAGAAAAGTGCCGTCGTAAGAGAGTGCACTCGTTGATATTATCCTCCTTTAGAATTGGGAAACCCCTGGAAATTATCTTTGCAAATTAACGCAACATTGACGTGTTTGATTTCACCACACATAAGATAGACTTTATGAAACAAAGTATTTACTGAAGTGACATCTCACCCCTGACCTGCTCAGCTTGTGGTCGTGAGTTCAGTGGGGAGCTTTTGGCTTGTGGTTAGTCATCAGCCGTAGACCCTTCCAGACAGAGGCAGGGTCATTGTCCTAAGCCGCCTTGAGTTCGTCCCTGTTTTGGTATTTAGCCACCGTAGCCGCTGCTGTCTCCCTCTCTGAGGGTGGACTCTTTAAATTTTGTGAGCTTCCTGAGTTCAGCATTGAACCAGGGTTTGTCGTTGTTGTAGATGACCCTGGTCCTACGATAACAACATACATCCATCTCTCAAGTGGCGTTCACACCGGACTTAACTTCGGCGTCAAAAGCGTCAGGTTTCCATTGAAAGTGAATGGTGAAGCGCGTCAGGTGAAGCCGAGAGCCCCGGCGTCACTTGACGCGCGTCAAAAGCTTCAAGAGTCGCGCGTACTACGCGCTCACTTGAAGCTTTTGACGCGCGAAACGCTCGCGTATCACAACAATCCCTTTGGCGCCGAAGCTGAGCAAAGCTGAGCTTTTGAAGCTTTGACGCGGGCTTCAACCAATCAGGAGACGAGGAGCAGCAGCAGAGGGTCTGTCTCTGTCATGAAGAGAAGTCATGTATCTACTGCTGCTGTTTTATTGTCATTATTGTTATTAGTAATATTATTTGTATGAGTAGTAAAATTCTGAGTAACAAAAATCATTGTACACATGCTGTGTAGTAAACCTAGTTTATTTAAAATAAGAACAGGCTGACGATGAGTCTGGCTCAGAGCAAGGCAGCTCCGGGCGGGCGAGAGCCGGGGAGAGGCAGGGAGAGGCAGGGGAGAGGCGAGAGCGAGCCGGGGAGAGGCAGGGAGAGGCGAGCGAGAGCCGGGGAGAGGCGAGCGAGAGCCGGGGAGAGGCGAGCGAGAGCCGGGGAGAGGCGAGCGAGAACCGGGGAGAGGCGGGCTCCGGGGTTTGAGAACTCAGACTGGGCGAGTGACATGCGGAAGTACCGCTGAAAGCGAAACTCCTCCGTACGCAGCTCCTGGAGTAAATGACGGAACTCTGCAAACACTGCAGCCTCTCAAGTCTGTGGTGAACCCAGAACATGTTTTGTTGAAGCCCTACAACAACGTTATTTTGCTTTATATAACAAATAAAGGCTCGCTGCTCATTGAAAAATCCACCGCTGTCCTGACAACAGACAACAGAGAAGCTCCTCCCACAGACAACAGAGAAGCTCCTCCCACCGGCGTCAGGCGCGTCACTCGCGTCAAAAGCTTCAAGCACCAAAATGACAAAACTATCCCGGCGTCAGTTGAAGCGCGTCAAAAGCTTTTTGAAGCTTTTGGTCTGAACGCGCCTTCAGATGCCTCAGAGAACGTCACATTCTGCGGCACCAAAACACGTTTAATAAAACGCTTTGATGCTTCCACATGTTCAGGACATACTTGCACCCGGATGTTTCATGTTGTTTTCTTTGATTGTGGCGCAGCTTTGGCCGACAGTTACCTATCACAATGCATCATGGGATCACTCATGGTGTGGTGCGGAGCTCATTGCTTGCAAGCGGCCTTTTTAAGGATGTGTGTGCACTCGCCGTTGCTCCCTAAGTATAGGGACCCCCTACACCCCCCGCGGTCACTTGCAAAATATAGGGCAAGGGTAGAAATTAACGGCCAGGGTGAGAGCTGGGACAGGGATTTTAAAACACGTTTGTTTTGTTTCAGATTCTGTGTTTGCAAGAAGTTCAGGAAGATCACTTTGTGACACAGATCAGACCTGCTCTGGACACTTTGGGTGAGAGACTGACTCTGTGACTCTGTGTCTCTGTGTGTTTGTGTGTTTCTGTGTGTTTGTGTGTTTCTGTGTTTCTCTGTGTCTGTCTCTGTGACTGTCTCTGTGTTTCTGTGACTCTGTGTGTCTCTGTGTGACTCTGTTTGTGTGTGTTTCTGTGACTCTGTGTGTCTCTGTGTGACTCTTTGTTTCTCTGTGTGACTCTAGGTTATAAATGTGTGTACAAATGTCGCACTGGAGATAAAACAGACGGCTGTGCTGTGGCGTACAGAAGGTCCCGCCTCTCACTGCTTCGGTCCAATCCTGTGGAGTTTTACCGTCCGGGCGACGCCCTCCTGGACAGAGACAATGTTGGATTGGTGGTTCAGCTGAGCCCCGCCTCTGACCCTACCTCCTCCTTCTGCGTGGCTAACACACACCTGCTGTACAACCCTCGCCGTGGCGACATCAAGCTAGCTCAGCTTGCCATCCTATTGGCCGAACTCCAGCGCTCGTCCCGCCTTCCTGACGGCTCGTCCTATCCCGTGGTGCTGTGCGGAGACTTTAACTCCACCCCCTCCAGTCCACTCTACAGCTTCCTGACCTCAGGACGCCTGGACTTCAGAGACCTGCACGTCGCCATGGTGACGCTCTCTACTGTTATAGAATGTGTTATACAGTATACATTATTATTATATAATAATAATAGTGTGTGTGTCTCTGTGTTGCAGGTGTCTGGACAGGAGCCCAACCCTAGAGGTTTCCGGAGGATCAGCTCTCCTCCCTGGTCCGACAGTTTGGGCATCACCAGGTCCTGTGTGTACAGGAACCAAGAGACCAGCGAGAGGAACCAGAACCAAGAGACCAAAGAGAGGAACCACCAGGACCCAAACCAGACTGAGGAACCGGCTTCTACCAGTCCTACAGGTCTGCATTTACACTATAGAACGCTGTGTTTGGAGCAAACTCAGTGCACCATGTGTCAAAGATGGGGGTGGTAGCAAACTACTGTGGAGCTGCTTTTCTTCAGCAGGGACAGGAAAGAAAGTAAAACATGATAAAATGGAGCTAGATACAGTAAAGGGCAATGTAGGAACTTCTATTCCATCAGGAATGAGCCTCAAGCTAGAGCCAGAAAGACTAGTATTTGTGTGTTAGAGTGGCCCTCTCTGGTCTCTCTCTGGTTTCTCTCTCTGGTCTCTCTCTGGTCTCTCTCTCTGGTCTCTCTCTGGTCTCTCTCTGGTCTCTCTCTGGTCTCTCTCTGGTCTCTCTCTCTGGTCTCTCTCTAGTCTCTCTCTGGTCTCTCTCTAGTCTCTCTCTCTGGTCTCCATCAGGTCTGTGAGAGCTGGAGCTGTCTTGTAAAGAGGAATGGGCTCAAACACAGTTCAGTATCCAATCTTCAAAAGAACCAGAACCAGAGTTGATGGTGTTGTGTTTTCAGTGATGGAAGGAGCCATCTCTGCTCTCAGTGTGGAGGACCAGGTGTCACACATCACACAGGAGATCCACGACAGGTGACACCAGCAACACACACCATGGAGACACACACACCAGCATAACCCATGAACCATGAATATGAGTCATTAAAGCTGAGGGACTTAACTTTCAGACCAGTAGAACTCTGTATTAACCCATGTCTCTGGTTCTGGCTCGAAAACAGTTGCTTCTGTCGCTGGTTTCATTTGTTTGTGATGTCACATCTTTAGATTGGGGCGACAGTGGCTCAGTTGGTAGAGCATTGGCCTTTGAGCCTGAAGGTCGCGGGTTCGAGCCCACCATGAAACCTTCTCCACCAACTCCCACTGATGACTGCTGTCGTTGTGTCCTTGGGCAAGACACTTAACCCCACTTTGCCTGAAGACCCCGCTAAAAGATCAATGCTATACTCACACAGATAGAGCAGCCATTCTCCTGTGGACTCACCACCTGCAGAGGGTCAGTGAGGGGCTGGTCCTATGAGACCTGGGTGGCATCACTGACTGCCACCCCCCTGACCCAGAAATGGATTAAGGGGTAGAAAATGAATGAATGAATGAATGAATCTTTAGATCAAAGAGAGGACCCCCTTCACTCAGCCAATCAGCTTTCAGCCCAAAGAGGGAAATAGTGACTCACAGGGCTCTTTCTCACTCTAAAGTTACAGACCCCAGCTTTAAACATGTGTTATTTATGGGACTGAAGTTACAGACCCCAGCTTTAAACATGTGTTATTTATGGGACTGAAGTTACAGACCCCAGCTTTAAACATGTGTTATTTATTGGACTGAAGTTACAGACCCCAGCTTTAAACATGTGTTATTTATGGGACTGAAGTTACAGACCCCAGCTTTAAACATGTGTTATTTATTGGACTGAAGTTACAGACCCCAGCTTTAAACATGTGTTATTTATGGGACTGAAGTTACAGACCCCAGCTTTAAACATGTGTTATTTATTGGACTGAAGTTACAGACCCCAGCTTTAAACATGTGTTATTTATGGGACTGAAGTTACAGACCCCAATAACAAATGTGACCTTTCTAAGA